GAGCCTGCCCTAGATCATAACCCGCCCTAAAGTGCCTGGTATATATAGTGCTTCAGACACGACAGATGCTCTTTTGCTTTCCCATTTCACCTCCCCCCCAATCTATGTATGACTGTAAACTTAAGTAGTGTACCACACCAATTATAAATGAGTTTGGCATAGTATAACTTAAGAATGGGCATGTGAATAGCCAATAATAGCCCTAAGAAACATGTAATGGGTGCTGGATAGACACCATGAGGCTATATTGTATCTCGGTGAGTTCTGTACCGTTTTCCACCAAATCAGTGTTGATTACCAGCTATTTGCTGTCGATTTTAGGGCCTGAAGAGACGAGAGGCATCTGCCATCATATTTTTGAAAGATCTGTCATGCTAAGTTTCAGCAGGAGGGTGTACTCTATCTTCATGAGTTCTCCATCATTCTCCTTTGTTAAAGGCTCGTTTACAACGTATTCTAGTGTCGTTTGAAGGTCCCAAAAAGACGAGAGGTTTGTGTGTCTGCGTTCCAGAGATATGTTGCATTTTCTGTTTGGGGGGGCAAGTACACTAGGTTGGTCAAATTTCCATCGTTTCTTATGATCTAAGGCTCGTTTACAATCTACTATAGTGTCGTTTGAAGGTCCCGAAAAGACGAGAGGTTTGCGTGTCCACGCTCTCAAGATATTCCACATTTTCTGGTTTTGGGGGGGTTAAGCTCTGTCTCGGTCGATTCTTTACCTTTTTTTATCGTTGAGGGCTCGTTTACAACGTATTCTAGTGTCGTTTGAAGGTCCCAAAGAGACGAGAGGTTCACATGTCTGCGTTCCAGAGATATGTTGCATTTTCTGTTTGGGGGGGCAAGTACACTAGGTCAGTCAAATTTCCATTGTTTCTTATAATCTAAGGCTCGTTTACAATCTACTATAGTGTCGTTTGAAGGTCCTGAAGAGACAAGAGGTTTGCGTGTCTGCGTTCTGGATATATGTTGCATTTTCTGTTTTGGTGGGGGGTGACTCAGTCTCGGGCAATTCTTAGCTATTTTCTATGATCTTAGGTTCATTTACAGTATATTCTATTACTAGTTAAATAATATGTACAACAAAAGCCAATTTTATTTGTTTTGAATGAGCTAGCATGTGTGGTTGATGAGGCTCAAAATCCTGGCTCTAGCCGGCTCAAGCAGTAGCCAAGCCAGATCCATCAGCTCGGCTTTAATTTCGGCTCAGCTGTGGCTTGAACCAGCTAAAAGCCTAGTGTTTGAAAGTCTGGTCCGGTCCGGTTATTGAGCCCTTGAGGGCTCTAACCGAGACCGAGACCGGTTACCTTGTGCCACGAAACCCAAAATAACCGAACTGGACTGCTACTAACCGATATAATCGGTTAGTAACGGTTAGCAGTCAGTTACATGACCGGTCCTAACCAGTTATTTCTCTGTACTAACATAATTACAAACATATATTATATTTCTAATACAAGCATTTCATAAACAACCTCGCAGGTCAAGTACACCCGACCTGCGAGCGTTTCTCATGGATGATTGCCATTGTTGTATCAATGTCACATTATCACACATGTGACGACAGGAAAATAGTCACTTAAATTTCAATTCACCGTAAATATGTCAATATCCACTAAAAAATATGATTTTTGGATTGTTAGAAAGCGTTTAAACAGGGGAATATTTGTGTGTAATGTTAGGACACAAAGACCGGTTATAACCGGTCCTAACCGGTTTTTGTTTGGTCTTGAATATTTTGGGATGACACCTAACCACTAACCGGACCGTGGTTACGGTTAGGATCGGTTAGGTAATTTTTGCGGTCCTGATCGGTTACGGTTCGGTCCAGTCTCGGTTATTTTCTGGTTAACTAACCTAACTTCCAAACACTATAAAAGCCAAAGCCGCAGCAACACTACATCAACCCCAATGTGTACCGGATGTGATTGCCTGATTCTTATCCAATGCATCCAGTAATCAACATTGATCATCTGAAGAAGTACAAACCGTCCCCATCTGATTTTGAAGATCAAAAGATCTTACCATCCACTCGAGATTTCTTGCTTTCCAAGGAGTATGAGGTTGAATCTATCTTGGGTTATAAATTATCGGGAAGGAAGAGAGGTAATAGGAGGACGTTTAGAGTAAGGTGGGCAGGATACGGTCCAGAATCGGATTCTTGAGTTTCGGAAGCCAACCTACATAATTCTCCAGAGCTCAAGAGAGAATACCTAGCTAAATTGGGACTAAACTAGACAGTTGTCCCTGCATCCCCATAAAATTTAAGAGTAGAATTCAAACACCACTGGGAATTTAAAGGATAGAAGAGAGAGAAGAGACCCCAACACTCAGAACCCAACAATTGCACTCTTAATTCCACTGTCCCTACTCCAAGTCTACCTTAAACCTCCAGCTGCCTATCGATCATGCCTGAATCCCTAGCTACTACGCCTCTGATCCATGTCAACCGTTCATTGCTCTGTCCCAACCCATTGTGCAGCATCAAAGCCCCCCATGACTTCTATGATTTGACCCCAATGCCCTCCATACCCATAGGAGTATTTGTTTGATCTGAGAAACGAACCTTGGGTGTACCTGCTGGGCGGCTATGGCACTGTAGGATTGTTGAAAACAAGTATAGAGAGAGAAGGTTGGGTGATATACAATGTGGTTAGGGAGGGGAGTCTGATTACTCGAGTCGCGCTTCCAAAGTATCGACAATGGCGTTGGAGATGGTGGTAAAAAGGGGACAAACTGCCTCTCAGAAGAAGCAACGACTCAACTCTTATACCTGCCAACACTTCACACGGAGACTCAGCCTCCACCCCCTTATGTTCTATTACAAGCAAGAAGCTCGGTCGCATTTCAAAGTACATATTCTACATATAGTTATTGTAACATACTAGGACTGACAATTACGCAATACTCAAGTCTGATGGTGGGAAAATCATAATTGCTTCCTTTCTGACTTGATTAGCACTATCAATTTCCTTATCAAGTTGGACTCGTCGCTTTCCACCATCACTACTTCCCAACTCGAGCTACTGGAATATAAGAATGGATACCCATTTTACACACACAAAGACATCTACCAGGTACGATTCTTGACGGTATAGGACTAGGAGGACAAAAAGTTGTTTTGGTTATTTTGAACCCCCTGTGGTCGACGACTTGTTATCATTCCTTCTACCTCCATTTTCCAGGGTATACAGCCGAATCGTCACTATGAGAGGGAAATATTGGGAGATTTTGTAGTGTTTGGAAGTCTGGTCTCATGACTGGAAAAAGACCGTAACCAGACCAGACCAAGACCGCAAAAGACCAGACCTGCGGTTATGGTCTTTTATTTTTGAAATGTAAAGACCGCAAAAAAACCGGTTAACGTGAACCGGTCTTGACCGGTTTGGACCGGCCTTTTGTAGCCCCTTAAATACCCTTTAAAACGCACCCAAGAACGTACGATTTGGTAAAAAAAACGAGAGAGATATGAATTAAAATGTAAATTACTTTTGGGAATAATAGATGTACCAGACTTATTTTATAGAAGCACCAATTCCTAACGGAATTTAACGTTCTTGGGCTCGTTTTGAAGCTATTAGAGATGTTAATAAATTTACCGATTCATAATTTTAAAATATTGGCCTAAAGACCGGTCTATAGACCGCAAAAAACCGTGGTCTGTGGTCTTTTTGCAGTCCGGTCTGGTCTTTTGACTTCTGGGGAAAAGGCAGACCGGTTATGGTTATGGTTAATGTCCCTGGGCATCAAAAAAACCGGACCGAACCAGACTTTCAAACACTAAGATTTGGTCCCCTAATTCCTTGACCAATGCATTCTATCTGGGCATACGGGCCCCTGGGTATGACGTCGCAATGGAAGTTGATCAGACGAAACAATGCTTTGATGGGCATCTGGGTTGCTTCGATCCAATGAAGTCGCCCCAACACTACGACCCACGTCAGCCTTGGTTAGTGTTTGTGCAAAGGGATAGAGCTTCTACATTACAAATCAAGCATGTCCCTCTCTGGACCACCTGGGTTAGTCTCGCTCCCAGCTGAGAAGGCAGAGACCTGGGGCAGTTAGACTCCACCTACCTAGTTCAGCTCACCGACTGGAATGGCAAACTAGATGTGACCATCTCTGCCTTATCCTGTGTAGCCAAAATCAAATGTGAATACTAGATCAATAGACCATTACGACCAACGCAGATGGATTTCTGAGAACTGAACGGAGATCTTCACTTCACAGGTGCCATGGATAAAGTAGTGGCTGTTCAGAGGGGCATGAAATTGAAAGACGCATGGATTAGGGTGATGAACCTCATTACACAGGAGGGAAGGGAAGCAGTATCGGAGGATTGGCTATCAGAAGTCCCTTTCGCTGTGGACAACATGTTGGGAGCGTGGATTAACGGAGCAAAGGAGGACAAAGTCTATTGGCTATTGAAGCATAGGATCCCCTGCTTCATTATTCACGAGATCTCAACATCCAACTTGTGCTTCTACAGAGAGGAACACAAGAATCTGGACTTCATTGTCTCCATGGATGCACAGTACTTAGCCCTGGAGCATAATGGATTCGACCATGTTGCCCACAAATGGAAGGCTGAGATTAACGCAGTTGCTGGTCAAGAAGGAATGCCTCCAGCCATGCCACTGGTTCTGTTGACAGACGATCGAGCGAGATCAAATCCCTTGTCACAGGGATGGAATGGAACTAAACATAGGTTGTTGGAAGAGACACCAGAGGTAGTAATGAAGCAACTGACATGCCCAGTCAAAGACTCAATCATCCAACCACCCCCAAAAGCGACCTTCACAGCTCACATTCCTGAACCGGAAGTAAGGGTGCTAGCTCAAGATAGGGTTGAATGGCTTGTGCCCCCTGGAAAATGGTCATTCTGGAAGGAAGAGGATTTGGATAAGAACACTTCATGTTTCTGTCCAGTGACGTCTCAACCCGACGATTGTGAGCAAGTGTGCTATGACCAAATCTTGAGGAGGGAGTTATTCTTCGTGGAGCACTTCGAAGTGCCTCTAGGAGTAGTTTCCAATGTTGACGTCGACGTATTCAGATTCCCAGCTCCCACTGCATGATTTGTGGAGCTATCCGACAGTGTTATCACTCAAGAGTATCAAGCCTCTCACTGGTTGTACACACGACCCACAGCGAAGTCAGGAACCATAGGGCAGAGAGCTGTAACCCCGCCCCTCGAATCACTACCCCTAAGATCCACCCTTCTGGTTCATCAGCACCAGCCCCGCACGCCAATTTCGAAGCCAGCTCTGTCCTCATCGGCTAAGCCACTCACTCCACTTCCGGCCATCAAATCAAACAGTCTATCATTGCAGAAGTTGATTCCCACCAAGCCGCGAGCACATCGCCAAAGTATGGAACATAGCATGCAAGCTCCAAGGGGCAGAGAGAGTTCTCTGGGCCGTCATCCTTGGGCGTTCACTCTGGAAGGAAGGGACTCACCGAGTGTGGGGGGCAGTGGACTTCCCAAGAAATTAAGAAGTATGGAACAACTCACGGAACGAGTTCTTGGAGCTCTGTCCATGTCACTATCTACTCCATCCGTGCCTCCCTTACCAGAATTAGAGGATCCATCTCCCCAGACTTCCATCCCCACAGACTCTCAGCCAATCGGCACAATGAACGGGGAAATGGACGTCGATACTATTGTGGACAGCGAATCTGATTCTTGCTTCTTGTGTTTCGAAGGGTTGCCCTTTGAGTGGGAAGAATGTCAATCTTGGTTCTACGGAAAAGCGGTCTTCTGTCACATCGTGTGGATTAATCAAATGTATTGGACCGTCACGAACTCTCATCCTTTAGTATGGTTAGACCTCAAGAGCAATGAAGACACGTGCACACTGCGTGGTTTCCTCACACATCGAAGGTCGACGAATCGGGCCGTGATCATCAGTCATTTTATTTCCAAGTCTACATTTCAGGAAGCTACGCGTAACTACACAGATAAATGGGAATGTCCCACTGCTCCCCTGCCTCCTCCCTCGGATGATTTTATGGAGGGACCTGCTCAAACCGCGCCTCTTGAAATGCAGCTTACTTCACCTAGACCAACTTCTCCTATGCCTGACGTCACCCTGCTACACAGAGCCGGAGTCACATTGGAAGAACGTGTGGAGGGAGCTGCGCAACAACGAAGACGAGCTGGGAAGAAGCATCGCAAGTTGAACGCCCAACACCAATCCAACGTATAGCTAATCTAATGATGTGGGGGGCTTTGTGAGGATAAGCCTAGGGTTCAGACTTACTTCTTGATCCAATATGATTATCTTGCGCACCATGTCCGCCGACTGACAGCTCACGTTCCACAAGCCTTAAGGGCTTGTGATCTCTATTATCAACACTTCTGGCCAGCTGAGCACCCTGTCATCTGCTCACGTTCACCAGAGTAAGCGCTGACACACTGTCAGCCATCCACTTTCTCTCTCTCAACTTCACTCACAAGAAGTCTTCGTACATGGTTTCACACAAAGTGAGGCCCAGGGTATTCACCTTAACCATATACTTGGGGAATGGTGCCAAATGTGGGACTAGTTCCTATGGAACCAAAGTAAGGCCCAGGCTATCACTTTGACTATATACATGATGGTTGAATAGATGGCGCCAATTATCTAATGCAACTTGGGTGCAGAATATACCTGGTGAAAGAGGGAGGAACATCCGAAGAGTGGTCCAGAGAAAGCTCTGAATGCACAACATGAACAACCATATACCTGATGGATGGAAACATGCCGCCAATTATCTGTATGCAAGTTTGGCTCAGAATATATGTGGTGAAAGGGGGCAGAACAACCGAAGGAACACAGATGGTCTACCTGATGGATGGAAACATACCGCCAATTATCTCCATGCAAGTTTGGCTCAGAATATATGCAGTGAAAGGGGGTGGAACAACCTACCAGAGTTCTCACTGATTAGTCCCACAACAACATCGGATGTTCCGCTCCTGCCATCATTGGAGGGTCTTGATATTGGAAAGGTTTCCACAGATGATTTTGCACATGTGGTAGATGAAATAATCTCCATGTAGTTTACAGAATGCACTGTGTTGATGATGTCTGCTTTTGGGGGAATATTCTCTGGACATTGTTCCACGTCATACATCTCTGTAGGTAAATTTTAGATAATGCTGATGGGCTCCCACAGTTCTCCCCATTCAATATTTATAAGTTGTTTCACCTTCTGAAATTCTTCCAATGCCAACCATTCAGTGAACAGCTCATCTTCCATCCATACCTCCAGTTGCCGATTGCCCAACTGATGCAATATATGTTCCCGGACAAAGAAGGCAAAGCAACATCTCTCTTCTTTAGAAACTGAAACACCATGTCTAATTGGCTTGGAGAGAACCGCAAGTATGGTACCTGGGTTATAATGAAATTGAATGCCGATTCCCGGGAGCTCCACCCAAATGTCTGGATCTGCCATTCTCCCAAACATTGCAAGTACATCAAACATATTGCAGGGAGACCATCCGTCATGGTGGAAAGGAGTCTCTCGTTGACTGATTACTGACAGGCCTGTAAACCCACTGGCCCAAATGCCCAATATTTCCTGATACAATGTCCAATCTTCTATTGTTTCCCTGAGTGAAATCCTGAGATGGGGATGCCCTGCCCTAATAAGGGCACCACACAGTATTGGGCTGGGTGCAAAACAGAGATAACTCCACCAATAAGGGCCTGAAAGTCCAAAATGTCACAAAGGAACCATTTTGCTCCTTTCGAGCCATTCTTTAAAGGTGCGGAAGCTCTGAGGGAGGTACCATTGTACTAATCAAAAATCAGGATGGAAACGTAATGGCAAGAATGATTGTACTTCATGTCCCATAGGTGTCCACAAGGGTGTGAGATTTACAATGCCAGGGGGGAATCCAATGGACTGGGAATCCTGGAAATAGGCTTCATTGTTTCTCCAGGACTTTCCTGAGGCCGGGGGCGATGAGGTAAAGTAAGGCCAGAGGTTCTCCAGCACAAACAAAACATGATTCTAACCAGAAACAATGTTAATCCATGGACATCGTAATGAATGGTCTCACTTGCCTGAAGTGCATCTGACATCGCTCCTGGTACATACCAAGCAAGGTGCCTTCCCCAGACATCCTGAACCATAACAGGCCTGTCTTCAACAACTTCACTATCAGGCAGAAAAGTGGGCGAATACCTCCGCATTAATGCATCTTCCATTAACATAACCATCCCTGATACCTTTGTCAATACATGGACGTTGGACAATAGTTGGGCATAAAAAGAAAACACCTGTAGGTCATGACCCAATTTCTTTGATGTACTCTTCAATACCCCACTCCACTTGAATGGGATCAGATCTCCAAGCTTCTGCAACAACGGCGATTAACTGTTCGCAATCCATGACCAAATTGTCAGAGAATTCCTTTGGAGGACAGTCGTTTCCACCTTTGTGAAGAAGGATGTAGCAAAGATGTGTGGACATATAAAACCCAACATCATCAGTCAGAGCCTGGAGGGCAAACGCAAACTCCATCATGGATGTTTTTCAAAAGATGAAAAAAGTGAGTTTTTTTTAATCCTGTATGCCTCATGCCAACCACATGTTCAATTGAATATTGTTATCTGATGTCGGATCATATTTTCAGGGCAGAATTATACCCTGAATGAGACAAAGGCCAGACAAGATCCCCATTTGGGTCTTCTGAATGTCAGGACTTCCTGGAAAGAAACAGGCGTATGAGCCAGACTGCATTTACGTTTGATGTTCACATGGCAACATTGTGTTTCCCAGGTGTCCAGGTGACGTAGGTGTATGGGAAATCCTTTCATCTGTTGATGTCACCATGACTGAGCAGTCCAGTACTGGGGTTCAATTCCCACATGGTGAATTGTGATTCTCTCATTTTGAATCTTTTGGAATACAGCAATATGTCCTTCTTTCTCATAGAATCTTTTTGATTTCCGTCTGCCTAACCTCTACCGTGCTGCAAATTCAAGCCAAATTCCAGAAATGCAATATCCGGGAATCCCGAGAATTTACTGCTGAGCACAATATCCGGATTCCCACAAGGTTCAAGCCAAATATCCAGGAACTCCGCAAATTTTCTCCAGACCACAATATCCGGAAAATTGCTGGGCCACACATTGGGCCCAACAATGAACCATGGACTTGTACAGAGGATGGCCCAACATAGGCACCTTAAGCTACCTCATGAGCTGTTGGGCCCAACTTATGCCATTAGGCACAGAAATTATGTTGGCCCACACCTTTAGCCCATAACGTATTCATGGGTGATTGGGCCAAACATATGCCCATTACATTCCTTCAGCATTGGGCCCAACCATTACCCTTAGGCCAATACCACCTACTTATTACTACCACAATTGGGCCGAATGGTTTGTCTGCAATGATTTATTTGGCTTAAACATTGGGCCCAACATTCAACCTTAACTGTCATTATGCCATTGGGCCCACCCATGGTACCATGGTGTGTATCAGTGTTGGCGCCATTTGGGTAGCCCTATGAGCCATTGGGACAAAATCCAATTTCTATTGTTATGGTTCCATAGTGCATCTACTGAATGCCCTGCAAGACCAACCTCCACCCATTGCCAAGCTGGAATATTGATGAATCATCCAAGAATCGTCTATTGTAGGAAATGCAGAAGTTGACAAGGCAATCATGAAAGAACTGTGGCTTGATGGAGGTTCCAGAAGCAGCTAACTGAGTTAGGTTTCTTGGTGGAGATCAACTCTTGATTGCAAGACTTTGAGCACTTGAATTTATTCATCCAGGGCAGGAAGAAGACTACGAGGAAATTTTCTGGGGAGCTTGGATTCCTGGGCTATTCCATGAAAAAATAGCTGATGCTCATGGGACTTTATTTACTCATTTTGGACAGCCTGCCACCATCTCCCAAAATGCTTGGATGTTGGGCTTTCACAATGGGTGTATCGACAGGCTCCCCATCACCCTGACCTCCCTTCCAACCTACCACACTTCTTGTGATCTTATCTTCATTTCACTCTATGCTCATGTTCTTCATTGCCTACTTCTTGTTTTGAAATATGGTTCATTGGAAGAATATGCACTGAAGGTCACAAAATGGGAAACACTTGTTGAGCATGCCACAAAGATCTTTGAAAATTATGCTAATGCAGCATTGGTTGAAGAACTACAAAGTGAGTGAGCAGAGAGTCTTGAAGATAAGGAGGACAGTGCAAAGCCAACAAAAGGTGATGCAGTCTTCGAAAATGCATTTCTGTTCATGTGGGATGCTCTTGTGTCTCAAGAATTCAATGATGCTATCAAGGCTGGTGATTCTGGATGAGTTATGTTGGCCCAGAAGATATGGGCACTTAGCTTCTGTGGAAATGGTTGAACAAAATATGCATACAAGATGCTTCATCTAATACACAATTTAACCCATGTTTGGCCAGAGAAAATCCGGTATGTTATCTCCTGCTCTGTTAGAATACTTAATGAATAAAACCTTGGAATATTGTTTTGAAAAACTGGTTTCTCAATCTATCTGGTCTGCCAAACTGCTCTATTGAGATGGACCTCACACAAGAGCACCTCAATTTTAAAATCAAAGCAAGTGAGAATTTTGTGAATGGGAACTTACACTGATTCTTGGTATTTAGGTTTCCTATAAAGCTTGGGGGTCAAACACATCATGGGAATGGCTTGAAACCATTTCACCCTGTGTAGTTGCACTTGGTGATCTTCAGAAGATGCTGAACAACACACTGGGAGATGACCAGGGCTGTAACGGATATTGGGATTCTATCCTTCTTCTATATGGTTTACTTTCCATTATTCAGCAGTCACATGACTCCTTTCCATACTTTGTCAGTAGTAGTCATGTGACAAGACATCTTCTTCTATCTTTCAAACCACCACTGCGTATACTCTGCATCAGGAATAGTGTTGTACTGCATTCCCCCTTGAAGTATTGTAAGTGATTTGAGTTTAGCAGGGTCACTGAATACTCTCCTAGAGGTGTTCAGTTACAGCTTGGCTTATTTCTCTCAGTATCACCTTCTTGAGGATTTCCTGAGAAGGAGCAGAGATTGTGCAATGGATTTCCGAAGCATCAACAATCTCTGCTAGATACTGGCTGAATCTCCCTATTTCTCTCTCTTTGGACCAAGATCTAAGTTAGATCATAGCTGATCGCATCTCAGTCTTCACACCGTTGTCATTCTGGCTTGCCATATGACTTTCATTGACAGCTCCCCACATTTAACACACAAGAAGTGCGTTACAAGGGCACAAAACATGCACCACCAGATCTTAAAGAACATATCAAGAGTCTTATGAGCAGCCTTGATGAGCATAGAGTATATCAGATTCAACAAGGGCAGATGGTAAAGGAAGAAGAAGTTGTAAAAGATGTTGTGGGACGGGGGTTACAAAACCTAACAGCAGGTGAAAAGAATCCATTAAACATAGTATTTAAAAGTCTGGTTAGGTTAGGTTATTGGGTGCCCAGGGGCTCTAACTGAGACTGAGACTGGTTAGGGTTCGTTCCCAGACCCAAAATAACCTAACTGGACCGAAGATAACTGACCAAAACCAGTTAGTTGCAGTTACTAACTAGTTAGGACCGAAAGAAATAGAAAATCGATTATAATGTCATATATTTCTCATATTCCTTGCAGTAAACATTATTTCCATGCATTGTAGCTTTAAAATAAGCCCAAGAACGCTAAATTTGGTGAAGAATTGACAATTTTATGATAATATTCTTGAAAGCCTACTCTTTTGGCCAATATTTTAGAGATTTGACCATAACTCTGTCAGACTTTTAGTGTCTCTCATGCTTTTAGATGTGTTTTGAAGGGGTAAAATAGGGTCGGTTTTAACTGGTCATAACCAGTTTTTTAACAGTTAGTTAACTGCAGAATAACTGGTTATTTCATTTCCAGAATTGACTAACCACTAACTGCAGTCTGGTCTTTTTGCGGTTAGGTCCGATCTGGTCTCGGTTATTTTCCAGTTAACTGACCTAACCTTCAAACACTAATTAAACAGGTATAATGCAGCCTTCAAAAGGTTTCAAATACAACAGAAGATGAAACTGGTATTGCTTGCTGCTCTCAAACAACATCCTGAACAGGCCACAGCACATATTCCAACACAGCCTCCACCCACACCCCTGGTTACATCTCCAACTCCTTTGATTTCAGCAGCTGAAGGTGATGAGGAAGGGCCAGCTGAAGACGAAACAAGCGAAATTGACAAGATTCTTGAGGACATTGAAAACAGGGCAGGAGAGGAAACCTTACTGTGGTTGACTGAGGAAGATGTGGCACTTGATATGGATGAGATTGTGGTTGAAGATGAAGGATTTGTAGATACTGATGAGTTGGATAGTGATGAGGGTGAAGGCAATGTAGGCTGGATGGACGATGAGGAACGGGAGTGTTGAGAAAGGCAGATGATGGTAGATACAGAACAGACACACCTTGAATTTGAAGAAATTTCACCAAGTCCCATGTCACAAAATGTGACCTTGACAACACTCAATCTGTTCGGCCCAGCCATTTCTGAACGTAGCCTGCGGAGTTTGAAAGAAACGGTTGGTCACGAGCCTAAAGTTCCCAGTACATGTAAACCAAGAAAAAATCACAACATCAACCAACAAAGAATCACAACATCAATGGCATACACTTCAAACAAGGGACAATCAGGCAGTGAAGTGAAGTGTTGGACAGATTCCCTGACAAATTTACTATTTTTGCACCTTGTATGTAATTAGGTCAAATAAATGGGCCAAATTTTATTTTGACAGTATATTTGCCAATTGTTCAAGGGGGTTGACAGAATAAAAACAATTAATATGGTTATTGTTTAAATCTGCCCACAACTCTGTTCCCTAGACAAAGCTTTTGTTAAAAATTAAAGTTTTGCCTCATGCTGAAGAGACAAACTGAATTGTTCCTGAAATCTGTTCCATTTACAATTTTTAATTCTTAACAGCCTTTTGTCCTGTGGACGTACCTTACAACACAATTTAAAAATAGTAACAACAATTTTTTTACACTTGGACATCACCTTCGCACAATAGACAAACACACTGTCACAATAAAATAATTCCCACACATCTTTTTTAATTACATAAAAGGTGCAAAAATGATTAATTTGTCCTCTGTCAAAGACTTCACTGAACTGCCTGATCATCCCTTGTTTACAGTGCTTTGCACTGCCGTTTGCACAACGAGTTTTGGAAATCGTGTTTGTGTATGTTGTACCGTGACCCTCAAATCGGGAAGTAAGAGACCGCTTACCGGACGCAACATCCAATAAGGCCTGCAATCTCCTGCGGTGAAAGATGTTGCTCATCATGGGAAACGGTGATTCACGCGCGCATCTCATCCGATGCCTGAGGCGCAACAAAAGTTGGGTTTGAGAAATACAAAATTCCAACAAAATTCCCAAAGTGCTCAGATCTTGTCCTGATGCGTGACAATCTGTGACGAACATACAAAACCAAACATAATTTTCGCGATTTCGATGTGCAAACAAGCACTGTAAGGTGATAGTTTGAGGTCCCTTGTCAACCCCGTCCCAGCATAGCTCCCAAACCGTGGTGTAACGGCCCTCCAGACACCATCCTGCCACCGCCACCCTGTGGATATTCGTGACCATGGCCGCATGATCTGCTCATACGACATTTTAAAAGGTACCCAAAAGCTACCCCGTTCGAAAGTGAAATACTTTTCGAAAACTCGTTCAATGTCCACTCCAACGTTGTAAATTCGGTGCCAATCCCACTGGGGTTGCTCTAGATCATGCATGTGACGCTCGAAAAGCTAAAACATTTTTGTTGTTGTTTCCGCACACCGCGTCGGCGAAAGACTCTAGCAGAAGTCGCCTTTACCAGGATCGCTGCGCACGTTGTGGAACAACGTTTATCGGTGTAGTCAGGGTTTTAGACCTGACCACTGCATCACCGATGTCCATGTGGTTTCATTTTTACGCGCTTCGGATCCATGTGTTTCTTGTCAAGCCTAATGGACGACGCGGTGTCAAGTGCCTGACGAGACTTACGATACGACGCATAAATATATGCGCCATGCTTAGCGTCTGTGCTCAATCCCCATCCTCGACATCAAGATGAAGCTGTCCCACGCGTTTGTGGGTCTTTTGTGGGTCTCTGTGGCCCGAGCGACGATTGTGAACGACATCCTTGAAGCCATCAAGAACGCAGTGTCTTGTACTTCTTGCCACGCCCTTCTTGTCCCCCTCAAAACTCTTGCTGCGCTTGGAGATGGGCCGTTCGACAATACAATCATTGCAATATGTAAGGCGACGAAGGTGCGTCACGCTCCGTATCTTACGTGAATTCTCGTATTTTGACGCGTCACCCCTCTAGCTGGTCGACGCGGATGTGTGTGAAGGCATAATCAAGACCCAAGGACCAATCATCGCTCACGATTTACGTTCAATCAATCCTCTCGGACAAACGGCCACCAAGCTATGTGATGCACTTCTGGGTCTCTGCCAAGCACCGACGGTGAACAAGTACACGGTTTCGTTCCCCAAACCTCCCCCTACCAACCCTAGGAAGTTCATTACGTCTGGGAAGACGCCATTCCAGGTGGTCCACTTTAGTGATATTCACATTGATCGGCAGTACACTGTGAGTAGGCTCTTTTTTATTTTCTCTCATCCTCTGAGCGTCTGTTCCGATAATTTTTGATGGACTTTAGACGGGATCAGAGACCAATTGTACCAAACCTATCTGTTGTAGAAATTATGCGGATCAGAAAGGTCCTATTGCTGTCGCGGCTGCCCCTATGGGCGAGTACAAGTGTGATACTCCAGCAGGCCTTGCTCAGAATTTGCTTAGGAGTATCTCGGCAGAGAATAGGTTCTCTATTTTCACCGGAGATGTGATTGAAGGTGGGTCAATCGCGTGTCCTATGGGAAAACGAGATAGACTGAAGACATCTCAGCTTCTCTTTGGCTCCCTGACAAAGGGTACGTCGTCATTGAAAGTCTTGGAGGCATTCAGTGGAACATAATGTTAGGGATGTAACCAATTCACTGAAGCTTTTCAACGAGGAAATGTCCACCCTTTCCGGTGCACCTATATACCCAGCTATCGGTATGTGTCCTTTATCATTTTCATAGATGAATCTCATTTGCTCCTTCAGGTAACCAGTGCGAATCACCCAATGAATCCGCAATTTTATTACTCACGCTCTGATGACAGTGAATCGGCACCCACGAACGACTTCCCTAGAACTACGACGACGAAGAACGCGACCGATATGCAGTGGGTTTACGATACACAGAGCGCGGGATGGACAGTACGCATCCCCATCTCTGCTGTATAATTTCACCCCTGAAAATAATTTCAGCCCCTCGTTGGCGCCACCGCTGCCAGTCAAGTCGCACATTACTCTGGCAGCTACTCCATTGTTGCCCCTGGTACCAACTTGAGGTACTTCACTTGACTTTTTAGACCCCGAACGTTGGTCTTTATTTCAACATCACCAGAATTATTTCCATCAATACTGTTTACTGGTACAAGGTCAAGTAGGTGTTCTCAGTCTGTCCCGTTCCTCCTCTCCCTGATGACTTTTGCGCTTTAGCTTCTGGCTGTACGACAGCGATGCATTCCAGTTTGTTCTGTCCCGTTCGTAGCCTTCAAAAACCATCTAACCCTGCTCTCCTTGAAGAGCGGATCCCAACGGCATTCTCGCCTTCACTATTCAAGAATTGCAAGCAGCTGAGGATGCGGGTCAGCGTGCTTGGATCATTGCTCACATGCCACCTGGAAGATATGACGCAATGCATGACCAGGTTCGCTGCCCTCTTTTCGCCTACGTGGCGATGATCCTAATTTGAACCACATAGTCCAATTACTTCGATCAAATTGTTCAGCGTTACCGCAATACCATTGCTGGTCAATTTTACGGACACTCTCATCAGGTGACGCCTTTGATCCTCCTGCATGATAATCGTCTGAACAGTTTGCAGGATGAATTCATGATTTCATATTCTGACTATAAGAAACAGACAGCTGCGAACGCTGTCAGCATTGGTTGGATTGCTCCCTCGATCACCCCAAGAGGTACGCTTGATGAGCATGTTGTTGAATGTATGTAACTAATTTTGCATTGTTGAGGTGGTAATCCCGCGTTCAAGGTTTACGATGTTGATCCGGATACCTACGAAATTATGGACGCCAAGGTCTACAGCAGTGAGTTTGTACTTCGCCCTGTCGAACTCGGATATGAACAATACCTCCCAGGCGATCTGATGAACCCCACTCACAATGTGCAACGTGAGCGAGCACTCTTTTTGCGTGAAACGTACTAATTGATATCGAAACAGCCACTTGGGGCTTGTATTACAGTGCCCGCTCTACATATGGATCGCTCCTTGGTGGTATACCCGCAACCCAGCCTCTGAGCCCTGCATTCTGGCACAACGTTACAAAATTATTTGAAACCAATGACGCAGCCTTCCAGATGTATCAAACGTTCCGAACACGCGGCGTGAGCCCTATCATATGCGACGCCAAGTGCAAAGCTGTGACGATTTGCGACATGCGAGCTATGCGTGCAGAAAACGGCTGTGTAAGTCAAAATGTTGATTGTCAATCGCTTTCATGTTCAGTTATTTTTTCCCTTGCTAGACCGTTCCTGCTCCTGGCAAGTACTTCCGCCGAGGTTCTGAAGACATCGACGCGGACGCTCCGTTGCATGTTGATGATTGTGAGGGCGTCAACATTGGGCACCTTCTTTCTGCGGTGACAAATGGCTTTGTACGTTTTCTCCCTCCTTTTCAACAACGTGATTAATATGATTGCATTCTAGTCCGAGACGGACTTCAACGAATTGAAAGACCGCTTGAAGGAGATTATTCCTGACAACTTGTGAAGTCGAAGTTGTAGATAATGCCCAAAACCCGATAAGTTGGTATTTCCTTTGGTTGATTACCGAACGGATTTCGTCGGACTGGGACGACTTTAATTTATTCAAGCCTTCATATGAGAACTTGACGTCGACACCTCGCATTTTTAGGCCAACCAGCCGCAATACTTCTGAGTATTTGCGAAGTGATGTCAAAGTGATGTCATGGGCTAGCCAAGGCACTGTTCTTCGATTGGGCCAGGCTAGTCCTGACATACTTTTATTTTTAGCTCCACGTTCTTATCATAGGTTCTTATGTAGTTGCAGAACTGATGTCCATGCGTCGTCTGAGATGGTCTGGATGGCCTGGATTTCGCTTGGAGTTCTGACGAGCGCTGCGCATCATCGCTCCACCCCTATATAAAGCTCATGAGTCCGATCAGCGTATCCCAAAAGAACTCTCATTCTATTCTTCTCCGCTCTCAACTATGTCTGAGCCAACCTTTGATATCCCGAAGATCCAGAAGGCGGCAGTCGTCGCAAAGGCTGGAAGCACCGTTCAAGTGAGGAACGATCAACCTGTTAAATCCCCTGCAGACCTTGCCCCGGGAGAATGTCTCGTCAAGTTGCATTTCACGGGTGTCTGCCACACCGACCTCCACGCCGCCTTGGGAGATTGGCCCGTGAAGCCGATGATTCCGCTCATTGGCGGACATGAAGGCGTCGGGACGATCGTAGCAATTGGCAAGAATACATCTCATAGTCCTGTCAAACTCGGACAACGCGTAGGTATTAAGTGGGTCGCAGATTCGTACGTACCTATGCACAACTTTTCGATCTTAAAATTTGACAACCCTTCTAGATGTCTTAATTGCGAACAGTGCAGGAAGGGACATGAACAAAGTGAGTCAATCAGTGACGTCCAAAAATGTCCGCTCCAAGAATACTTATTTTCGTATCAACTAGATTGCTATAATGTGAAGTTGAGTGGGTACACCGTCGACGGAACATTCTCACAATACGTCGTTCGTTCTTCCCGTTTTAATGTTTTTTCTTCCTTTGTCATGACATGTTCCCCAGGTATCTTACGTCAATTCCGTTACGCCCATACCTGATAATCTCGAGAGCGCGGCAGCCGCATCCATTCTCTGCGCGGTACGTTTCTCCAGTGTGTCATCCATCGATCTCGTTTCATATTAAAATATTTTCGCAGGGGGTCACTGTTTATCGTGCACTGAAATATAGCGAGACAAGCCCAGGCGAGTGGATCGTTCTCCCTGGTGCTGGTGGTGGACTCGGGCACATGGGTTTGTACTGTGTCCCCATATATCCAAACACTCCAACTAATTGGTCTTGCAGCTATTCAATACGCTAAATACATGGGACGCCGAGTCATCGCGATAGGTTTGTCTTTTTTTGAACGTATTTCTTCTCGATTCTCACAGTCGACTTCTAACATAGATGGTGGGGAGGAGAAACGTAAATTGTGTGAAGAACTCGGCGCAGATGCCTGGATCGACTACACTGTATCCCAGGATATTGTCGCAGATGTTAAGAAGATAACCGACGGCCGCGGCGCGCATGCAGCTGTCGTGACCACCGCTTCGAGCTCGGGATATGTCCAAGCCGTTGATTACCTTCGCGAAAATGGGCATCTCATGGCTGTTGGTCTGCCTGGAGACGCAAAACTTGACGCATCGATTTTCTTTACCGTGTTCAAGGTGAGTTTATTTTACCTCTGGTTAGATCAAAGTCTAAAATTCCATTTTTACAAGGGGATCACCATCCACGGTTCCTATGTTGGTAACCGCCAAGATGCGGTGGAAGCCATCGACATTGCTGCGTCTGGAGCTGTTAAATGCCATTATCAGTTGAAAAAGCTTTCAGATATCGAGCAGTGGGTTTTGACTCCATCACATCTTGCAGCATACCTGATCTAATTTTTTAGGGTGTACAACGACATCACAAACGGAAAAGTTGCTGGTCGCATTGTTCTTGAGGTGGTTTGATGACTTGTAACAGGAGCTAAATTTCGAATCATGTAAGCTAGGACTTTGAGTGGACTATGTCAATATGTAATAATACGGATGCAAAATTGTTCGAAACTTGTAGATGGGATTTGCGTGCCCCACGGCTCTAACGTTGGAATCGTCGTGTCTACACAAAACAGGGGAATGTTGTTTTCTCCGAGGGACAGTCTAAATTTACGAGGGGTGTTATCCAACAACCTATGGTCCTGGTCATCGTCCAGTTCAACAAGAAACTGGGTGGGTGGTGTCAAATACAGCATTGTGATTATCGCTAAAGCGGAAGGCATATATATATTGATATCATCATCGTAGGCCACTGTGCCATCCGTTGAGCCAACGTTGAGCCCGACGCGCCGATGGGATGACGGAAAAAGAGAATCCAGAATCCCAATTTGACGAAGTTCTCTGATGGCACTTTGTGGCGATATTTGGTGTCGCAGGATGAGAACGGAATTTAGGGGTAAAAAAAAGATACACAGAGCGGGAACTAACAAAAAGAGAAATCAAACACTCAACAATAACTATAACACAAAACAACCTCGCCAGGCTGAGCTCAACTCAACTGCAACATCGCCCCATCTGCCATCGGCCCCCCACCACTCTCCATCATCTGCGCCGCACTAACCTCACCAACAAGCACACCTTGCCCTGTCGTCCCCATCGGCTGCCCAAGACTATTCAACACATTCCCCGTAATGCCGTTCTTCGCAATCTCAGTCCGCACCCCATCCAACATCCTCTTCAACCCCAACCGCTCATTCACCAACGCCACCCTGGCACTCTCCAGCCCTTTCCTTTCTTCCTCCAAGATATCCTCGAGTTCTTCGAATTGCGACATTTTGAGCTCAAGCTTTGTTAGTGTCAGTTTGATGAGGTTGGAGATCGCACTCCGGATTTGTTTGTCTTCTGCTGTGGCGAGGGTTTGTGCGGCGCGGGCGGAGGCTTTGAGTGCTAGATCGGCGGCGCGGACGACTTTAGAGTGGGGAAGCGTGTGTTTGGGTTTTTGGGAGCCCGAAGCCGTGGAAGTACCGTCGGCTGAGGTGGTGGCGGCATCAGCAGCAGCGCCTTCTGAGGGTGCTACTGACTCTTCTTTGGTAGGGACAGCAGTGTCTTCGTCCATTCGGTCTTCATCTTTCTTATCTTCGTCTTCAATCATAGCTTTGTCTTCTGCCGTAGCCTTCTTTGAGTCCCCATCCGTAAGTTCGTGTAATGCTGTTTTTGCAGCCTCAGCTGCAACCCCAGGGCCAACCACACCAGCTAAGAATGCCACGACGCTCATGACGGGGTTATCCGCCTGCTCGAATGGTATCCGGCCAAACCTCAGTGGACCCATCGATGCCTCTGTGTTCAAATATGGATCCTCAATCGGCAGCTCCAAGAACTTCCGAATGCACTGCTGCGCCGACCGCGTCCCAACGTGTTCCTCGATTTTTGACCAATCATCGTCATACATCTCCACACCCTCAAGGAGGAGAAGTGTTTCTTGATCTGACCAGTCATCATTATTTCCACTCCCTTGTGCCACACCTGCACCGGCGCTGGTGAGCTTGACAAAGTCACCACTGTACATGGTAGAGGGGAATCGTCCGTCAAGATAGCACGGAGCACACAGCTCCAACTTTTTATCCTTGAGGGAGTGGTACCGGACAAGGGTACAATCTACCCCGCAAGTGTCGCAGCTGTGTGAGGTGGCACCTGGTACTGTGCCGTTAGTCTTGACGGAGCCATTAGCGTTGGCCAAAGTTTTGGCTTCTGTTGAGCTAATGGGACGCGAGGCTTTGGAGGTGGTTTGGTAGATAGAAGATCGTAATTCGAGTGACGCAGGTGCGGCTGAGCCTGTTGGGACCGGTCGGCCATTCACAGTGGGGTTGGTGGGCCGAGTACCAGGGTGAAGAGACTGCAGACCGCGTGGGGTATCGAGGAGAACGCGGAAATGCCCCGTGAAAGGGGGTGCGAGTGCTGCTGGCCGTTGATCTGGGTCAATCTGGCTCGAGAGTCAGCGTACTGAAAACATTATACAGGTAGATAAAAGTCAGCGTACCTGGTAGTTAATGAGCCCCCATTGCTCTAGGAAAGCATGTACGCGCATAATCGCGCATACGTCACCCGCCAAATTCCTTCTGCAAGCCGTCACAGTGAGATACTCGGTAGGGCGTAGTCGGTACGTGTTGATCATAAAATCGCGATAATCTTTGTAAATAGCGGGCGTCTTCGACCGATTCCGCGAGTTGAAGAACTCCGGCAACGCACGACGCTCCACAGGGTGGATTTTAGACATGTCAAACCAAGCAGAGTAAGAAGGGATGATGACTTCGTGCGTCTGAGCCGCAAGGTATTTGCGCGCCTGCTCCTCCAGCCGCTGACGCGTAGCCTCTAGCTGTGCAGGGTCTTCATCGTCGTTTTCGTCTGCAGAATCACCGTCCTCGTCTGCGCCCTCCACCATTGATACGTCCATCCCTTCCTCCTCGTCTCCTTCCTTTAACACCTTCAGTTTTCCGGAACCAGTCGGAGGGACAGATAATGAGCCCTCAGTTGTTAGGTTCCCGATGTCGCCTGAGGGTATAGGGTCCAGCTCTGTACGTTTACCAGAAGCGTTTTCGGGGTCGACTGGGCTTGCTCCTTGGTTTTGGTGGGGGACGGTGAGTTTTATCCGTTTTGCGTCGGAGGAGTTGGGCGCTGCTGACCCGGAACGCTTGGGAGTGTCCATGGCTGGTCAATGGCTATTTGCGCGTTGTTGACAACGTCGAGGTCAAGTTCAACGCTGAGTGACCTTTTGCGTTGATGTCTGATATCGTTCGATCCAAATAGATGCAAGCAAGTCTATTAGGAACTCCCCAAGAACTGCCTGTGAGTTCTCAGTATCGCAGATAATCTGCACCCCCAATGACATCCCAGAACTCTAGAAGTATCTTGGGAAATGTACCATTTGACATTTTGGTTCACCTTTTAGGCTTTCTATGCCCATTAGATATCCTCGCGGCACGACAGGTTAGCGTTCACTAGATCTAAACTCCATTTCGACTGCTCACTTTATTACAGACATGTAAGCTGCTTCAGGAAGCAACATCACAGCGGTCGCTTTGGATAGGCGTCCTTCGCAGCGTTTGCGCGGAAAACCATATCTTCTGGCCCACTTACCCTATCAAGGACATGTCGACAAGTGATCTCGTCAAAGCCGCATTAACTCCTACCAGATTTCTGTCGTTCATTTTCAAAGAGAGAGATCCTGCTTTGGAGGGAATTGAACCGAGAACAGTGATACATTTTACACCTGGGAATCTGAATCGTCTTCGGAACCCATGCCCTATCGACCTTCTTCCTGGGGGGCGCTTCCTGGTTTGCGCTGAATACAAAATTCTGTCGATCTGGGACCTGGGTTGTCCCTCTGAGGGGTGCTCGTTGTCTGAACTCATTTTGGTTGCATGTGTCGCAACTGAGGAGTGCCACAGATTTATGCTAAAGCCCACGAACGATGCCCTTGGAATTCAAGTTGTGGTACTGTCGGCACCGTGAGCCCAACTCGCTCTTTTCTGAATTTCCTGCAAGAGACTTACCGGGTGTCGTTAGAGCGAACAATGTAACGGTGTTTGAGATCCGTCCTACATTTTCCAACCCCAGCTTTCGTCAAATCACGAGTCTTGACGTCGTCCTCCACGAAGGATGGGACATCTATTGTTTATGTGGAGATCGACTTTTTATCGTTTGGCAGGATATCGTGACTGTCTGGGATTTCTCCAGGAACTTATGGGCAAGCTGGGAAGTGGAGAGGTCACCCATGAGTGTAAGACATTCTACCTCTCTAGAGTGATGTATCATGGTCTCATCTCAAACAGATTTCAGCAATAGATAATCATGTCATTCTTGTTGAAGACTCGGATGACCACGAAGCAAGGGTCGGGATCTGGAAGATCCCTCCATTGCACCCGATCGGGCACACATCTGCGTCTCTCGGTGTGCTCCCTGCTGACACCTGGTTCGCGCCACTTCAGGTTGAAGACCTGATTTCAGTAGAATACTACGGTGGGTTGGATGACTGGTACCGAATAGGAGGCGTCGGACGGACACAATGCATAATTGACGGTTATGGATGCCGCATTGAATCTTTCTCAAAAACCGCATTTCTCCGGGTAGAATTACCCCTCAAACTCGAGGATAATCAATCCACCCACAATGTGGATTTGGACTTTCATATCTTTGACTTTCTTTCAAAAGAAAGTATTTTTGGATCCCTTGGAGTGTGTAATGAGAACGCCATCTCTGTGTGGACCTCTCCATTCGGCATCCAATTTCATGCCACAAGGCGAACTAATATCGTCAATCGACCTCATACACCTGTGGATTTGACACCCTCCCCCCGCTCTGCTTCTGTTCACATTAGGATGCCCTTGGTTCCTGAGGTTGCTGCTTTTTGCCCTGTTTCGGGGCGGCTGTGTTATCTTTTAGGCGATGATTCATCTACCATCTTCATTACCGATTGTCTTTCTAGGAATATCACCTCTGAGGTTTGATTCGATGTGCATCTTTTTTTAAAAGACTTGTGGCTACTGGTACGGCTTTCATCTGGAATTACCACACTGCCCAACACTCATGGAAGCTGTCAATAGAACTAAGCAATGTCACTTCGCTTTTACCTGTAATTAGTCGGGGCATGCAGTAAGTAATGTAGTCATTCCGATTTTTCTCATATGCAATTTTTGTGAACTTTACCTTCGATGCAGTGCCTATAATGGCGTCGAAACCTCTCTGATTTTCACAAAAAGATATGAAGGTTCAAGCCGAAAGTACATAGCAGAAGCACGGTAAACATCGCCAACAAAGCCAAGCAGTGTCGCGTTGATCTCAGGCTCAGCTGCTAGCACTGAAACCTACAAGTATGTAAGCACCCCCATCTTGGCAATTGTTTTGACGACGCCAGTCGACGTCTAATACTCAAGGAACGAGCTAGACTTGCCAGGGTGGGCCGATGTAAGAACATGGACTATTATTATGTAGTAACCGTTGCATCGTGTGATCTTTTGTTCACTGCTGCTCATAATTTGGATGACCTTGGAGGGCCAGATAATAAGCCCTCAGTTGTTAGGTTCCCGATGTCGCCTGAGGGTATAGGGTCCAGCTCTGTACGTTTACCAGATGCGTCTTTGGGGTCGACTGGGGCTGCTCCTTCAAGTTGGTTTTGGTGCGGGACGGTGAGTTTTATTCGTTTTGCGTCGGAGGAGTTGGGCGCTGCTGACCCGGAACGCTTGGGAGTGTCCATGGTTGGTCAATGGATATATGCGCGTTTTAGACGACGTCGAGGTCGAGTTCAACGCTGAGTGACCTTTTGCGTTGATGTCTGATATCGTTCGATTCAAATAGATGCAAGCAATTTTATTTGGTTCATGTGGGATCGCAAACTTGCTCCCAATGGCATCCCAGGACTCCAGAAGTATCTTGGGAAGTGTACCCTTCGACATTTTAGTTCACCTATTAGGCTTTATATGCCCAACAGATATCCTCGCGGCTCGACAGGTTAGCATTCATTAGATTTAGCAGCCCAAAACTCCAGTTCGACTGTCACTCACTTTATTACAGACATGTAAGTTGCTTCAGGAAGCGACATCACAGCGGTGGCTCTGGATAGGCGTCCTTCGCAGCGTTTGCGCAGAAAACCATATCTTCTGGCCTACTTACCCAATCGAGGACATGACAACAAGTGATCTCGTCAAAGCCGCATTAACTCCCACCAGATTTCTATCTTTTATCTACAAAGATAGAGATCCTACCTTGAAGGGAATCGAACCTAGAACTGGTATCCATTTTACACCTGGGAATTTGAATCGTCTTCGTACTCCATGCCCTATCGACCTTCTTCCTGGGGGGCGCTTCCTAGTTTGCGCTGAGTATAAAGTTTTGTCGATCTGGGACCTGGGTTGTCCCTCTGAGGGGTGCTCGTTGTCTGAACCCATTATGGTTGCGAGTGTCGCCACTGAGGAGTGCAACAGTTTTATATTACACCCCACAAACGACGCCATCGGAATTCAAGTTGTGGTACTGTCGGCACAGTAAGCCCAACTTGCTCCTTTCTGAACTTCACTCACCAGGTGTCATTAGAGCGAACAATGTAACGGCGTTCGAGATCTATCCTACATCTTCCAACCCCAGCTTTCGTAAAATTACGAGTCTCGACGTCGTCCTCCATGAAGCATGGGAGATTTATTGTTTATGTGGAGATCGGCTTTCAATCAATTACCAAAATATCGTGACTGTTTGGGATTTCTCCAGGAATTTATGGGCAAGCTGGGAAGTGGAAAGGACACCCGCCAGTGTAAGACATTTTACCTCTCCAGAGTGATGTATCATGGTCTCATCTCAATCAGATTTCAGCAACGGAGAATCATGTCATCCTTGTTGAAGGTGACCATGAAACAAGGGTGGGGGTCTGGAAGATCCCCCCATTGCACCCGATCGGGCACACATCTGCATTCCACGGTGTGCTCCCTCCTGACATCTGCTTCACGCTACCTCAGGTTGAAGACCTGCTTTCAGTAGAATACTACGGCGGTTTGGATGACTGGTACCTAACAGGAGCCGTCGGATGGACGCGATGCATAATTGACGTTTATGTAACCCACTTGGGATTTCGACGAAGATCCGCACTTCTCCGGGTAGAATTACCCCTCAAACTCGAGGATGCTCAATTCACCCACAAGGATGATTTGGACTTGCATACCTTTGACTTTGCAACAAGGGAAAATATCTTTGGATCCCTTGGAGTGTGTAATGAGAATGCCGTCTCCGTTTGGACCTCTCCATTTGGCATCCAATTTCATGCCGCAAGGCGAAGTAACGTCGTCAATCGACCTTGCACACCTGTGGATTTGACACCCTCCCCCCGCTCTGCTTCTGTTCACATTAGGATGCCCTTGGTTCCTGAGGTTGCTGCTTTTTGCGCTGTCTCGGGGCGGCTGTGCTATCTTTTACATGGTGATTCATCCAACACGGTCTATATCACTGACTGTCTTTTTAGGAATACCTCTGAGGATTGACTTGATATAGGTCTAGTCACTCTGATTCATTCTCGTCTATGTAGATATGCAAGTTTTGTCACCTTTGATGAGATGTACTTTCCAGCCAGTTTATTAAAATGAAATTGGTGCCTTCCATGGTCGTCGAAACCTCTGGGAAATTTCTTAAGAAAGATATGAGGTTTTCAAGGCGGAACTTAGTACGTAGCAGAAGCATGGTGCATGCCGTCAACAAAGCCAAGCAACGCGTCGCGTCGTTCTTATCTGCGGGTTAACGTACTCCCATCTTGGGGGTTGTTTTAGCTACGCCGGTCGACAAAAAATACGGACTATGATTATGTGTAACTTTTGCCTCGTGTGATCTCTTACTCATTACCGCTCACGACTTGGGTATATTAGCGCTATGTATGTAACGGTACGTGTTTCGACGCCTTGTTACTAGTACCAAACCACTATCATTGTTACGTTCTCATGTCGGAGAAGATGTTGTAGCGCAGAGGTCAAAAGAAGCTTCTAGCGGAAAATTCACTCTCCGGTTTGACATGACCTATGTACTGCTTGTATGGAGGTTATTTTAAGGACAGTGATATCTTTCGTGACATATGATGGTGTGACGTCGCCGGAGAGGCGATGCCGAACGCTGCTTGATTGCTGCTTGATTTCAACTTTGGTTGAGCCAAGTTCTTGTGTTCTCGACCAACTGGCTCCGGCCATCCTTGGAACTCATCGTCGTCGTCGTCCCTTATTATAGATTCATCACGACAACCCCCACTATACCTCCACAACATACCTCCCGTGGCACGCATACCCCTTCCTTCCTTCCTCTCCTCACCATGTCGTCGCCAACGCCCCTCGCCGCTGTCCTCTCGCTGCTTGCATTCCCCGCCCTCTCAGCAGCTTATTCCTGGAATTTCAAGGCAAACCCGCAGCAGTGCTCAAACCTTACCATATCCATCTCAGGCTCCGATGGCAAGCCCCCATACCGCGTGCTTATCATACCCTTTGGACCCAGCCCCCTCCCGAATAACGTCGAGGCGAGGACAATTTTGGACATGCCTTTTGAAGGAAACTCGAATACCATCTCATTCCAACTCAAATACCCCGCCAATTCTCAGCTTGTTGCCGTAGTGAGTATTCTCTCGATTTCTATTCCCTCTTTTCTTCTGTATGGTCTCTTTCCGCTTGGAATCCTATTTCTTTCGGATTGGCTTGTTGGTCCTCCCTCCAACACCTCCATCCCCGTTTTCTTCCTGCCTTCTTCGCCACAACATGAATCCGGAGATGAGTCCCACTTGACGCTGATAGCCGTGATGCCTGCGGTTGTTACAATCTCGGAGAATTGTGCCGGGGACAACGACGCGCTACCTACCATCCCTGCACTTGGACAACAGTGTTGTGAACTACCTGCACTGGATCCACTCCCCCCTTCCATTCCTTCTGCCACCTGATCCTTACGACGCATACCATGCATACAGCGCCTGTTCACTAATGACCATCAATGCGCGTCTGAATATCGGCTATGTCAAGCTTTTCCACCTATCCACCTCATGGCGAAAAGTGACTTTCATGTCTCCTTACCGCAGCATCAGTGACTCCCACGAGCCTGTATCGTTTGACAGGCTATGGCGTCATGTGCAGTCTTCAACCCTTGGCGTTTATCGCTACCCCTATCGTGGACTTGTCGAGCTCCATCGTCGCTATGGCGGTCTTGAAGTCTCCACAAACATATATTCCTTGTGTAGATTCTTACACTTTACGCCATATGGGTGCACTTCCTATAATGACGCTGCCAGGGTCCCGACGATCGTCACCTGCTCTCGCATATCCTATGGAATACCCACGATAACTATCTTGATGACGTATCGTCTGACTATCTGGCGCTTACCAGTGACTACACTTGGAATGCATGGGGTCATTTGAGCCTTTCGCCATTCTCTGACTGTGAGAGAGGTGGATGCTGTTACACTACGCCATAGTGGATGCTGTGTTTCACCCATGCATCTACTCAGATTGACGCTGCCTGGATCTCTTCTTGGTCATCATCGATGGTTCAAGGTCTGACTAGTTGGCGCTTACTAGTAACCGGGCCTGGAATCTATGTGGTCACTTGAGCCATGCTCCTTGCCTGTGTCGACTTTTTTCACCTACTTTGACTCGATAATTGCATTTATTCTATCCTTATTCACCTCGTTCTTTCCACATATCACAATCCTATTCTCTTGTTCTTTGGGACACATGCTGATTTCTCTCTATCTCTAGGTTAGTGATTCTACAGGCTTTGGTTCAGGTGGTACCAGCGTAGCTGCACAGGTTGCCACTTCGTCGGATGCCTCGTGTTTCAATGCCACTGCAAACGTCTCCCCCTCATTCGTCTTTTCGATATATCCCCCAAATCAAATCGTCCAATGCCAAAATACACGGCTAGGGTGGGATAACTCAACTGTGCAAGGGTAAGCTTGCCATCTCACTATCTTGAAAACTTGGCATACCATGACCCTACAGAATCCCAAATTTCCTCGGAGTAATACCGGGAGGACAATCTTTTGCTGTTCCGGAGCCGCTGGATTCCATCACCAATGTCGATTCAGAAGGTACGGGCTTTACATGGTTACCAAATCTTCGGGGGGGTACAACGCTGCTCCTTATTGCTGGCGACAATCGGGGAAACGGAACGGGTGGAAGCTCGCTTAATACAGTGAGCACGGGGACTCAGAACATTGGGACCTGCTTGAATGCAACCAGCCCGAGCTCGACGCCCGGGAGTCCTGCTGGCGGGAGTTATCCGACTAGTACAAACGGGAGCTGGACTGGCGGAGGTTCTGGGTGAGGGTTTCTTTCATTGAGGTTGTCTATCGCAAATGCCAACTCATCCCTTGGTTCTCAGTGGTGGAAGTACGAACACGGCAGCTATTGTTGGAGGTGTCATTGGCGGGGTTGTCCTTCTTCTCGCGGTCGTCCTACTCCTGCTGTTCTTCCGCCGTCGTGAAAAATTGCAGAAGAGACAAAAAGAACGGCCTGTGGACCTTCTGAACGCGGAGGAAGACGGCGATGAAGATCACGCTCCCAGACAAAACGAACTACCGCAGTACTACCGACCGGAACCGTTCATGGTATCAGACACGCTCTCTGGCACTGGGGACGGGTACACAACGGACGGCGAACGTCCGTTGAGTGGTGTTACGACGACTACGAGCTACTATAACCGCAGTGCGACCCCGGAGGGCAGCGCGGCGTATGGATATGGGGCTGGTGTTTCTGGAAGTTCGGTTGGGGGACGGAAAGGGGGGATGAGGCCGCTTAGACCGGTCAATATTATTCAGCATGATGATGCGGGACCGAGCGAACCGAAGGAGGAGGAAGGTGATCCGGAGACGATCGAGCTTCCGCCTGCTTATACTGCTATGAAGAAGGCTGCTGCGGGTGGAGGTGGGGGAGAGACGGAAGCGTGATGAGGAAGGATGTTGGTTGGTCGTTTTCGTTTCGTTCTTTTGATTCTGATTCCCTCTATGTTTATTTGATGCATCTCTTTCCCCTCGCCCCATTGACCCCTTGACATACGGACACGAATTTTACGATTTCGCGACGTCTTCTCCGTTCCGTTTCAATCCACACCTCTGCTATCTTGATCGTGACTCGGCCTCCTCCCACACTCTCCTCCAGAACCCTACCGCATCGTCTCCACCACACCTACATCCACACATCCATACCTACGCCTCATATTCGAATTTCGAATCCCACTGCATTTCTCCACTTCGTCCTCCCTCTGCACTACATCTTGTTCGTTCGTTCATGGACTTTATAGCTATTGTCACCCAAACCAAGCCAACCCTTATCGTATCGTATTCTATTACCTTAACCGTTACGTATCGTATATGTGTAGTACCCACACCACCTTCAAAATGAACCTGAGATGTTTGAAATCGAGTTGGGATGAGTTTGGGATGAGGGATTTGTAATTTATCCAAGTTGTCGATGGTTGCAGTAAACGTAGCTCCAGGTCTGGCTTGATACTCAAGTAGGTTTGCTAGGGGGGATACGCAACCTTCCTCAACTTGAAAATCCATACGATAGTCTCGACACCAGCCGTTACGATGGGTGATATCACAAGGGTATTTGGCCTTCCTACTTATGTAACCAAAAAAGATACTCCCTCCTCCCTCAGATTTCACATTGCAATTACTCCGAGGCAACTGGTTTCGAGTCTACGCGTCCGAATACATTGAATACGTCCACAAAAGATTCTGCGACCATAAAGAAGCGCACCCGAGATATGTGGCAATTAATTGGTATTATAAACAACTGACGATGAGAGTACTATGCTCAAATTCCTTTCCTACGCTAATATCCGGATATTGGGTGTCCCATTCGCAACTAGAATTTGTTCAACTCTTGTTTCGCCAGCCCCTTATCTTGTTGGATATTTCCTGCCGCAATTTATTCAGAAAATATTCTAAATATCAGATTTTCAACTTACCAGCAGTCTCTTGCGCACGGTCACCAGCAAGAGCGCCAACGAGGGTGTCCCTCTTGCCTTGCAAGCGATCTGTGGCACCATCGACGTATCCCTTGGCCTGAGCGGCGTTGTACTCTGCCTCTCCTGCTGCGTGCTCCTCTTTACCGGACTGCGTCCAGGAAGTGGCTCCAGTCACGTTGCCGATGGCCTCGACGATCGTGCCCTTTGCGGAGTGATATTGACCGGTTGTCTTGCTGTATAACAAGTTGAGTGAATGATGATTGGGATTTTGGAAAGGATGGAACCCTTACTTTGGCTCACCGGAAGCTGTGTTCTGTGCGGATTGGGACGCCATTGTTAATTGTGTGGTTGTGGTTGATGATGCATTGAACACGAAGCCCGAGCTCTTTAAGAGCGTTCTCGGTGTGGAGCTACCTCAAAGCTAAATTGTCATGGTGGTCATCAGAGGCGGCAATGGCGTTTGAAGTAATTACGCACAAACAATACGAAAGGTGACGTCGTTGTGATGGTATGATGCAAGGGTGACAAGTTTCATCATCATCGAGAAAGTGAAACCCGCCAAGATTGCGCGTACACCACAGCCGAACTCCACGCCATGGAAGGTATATATATTTCACAGACAACGAACTTTTTTTTTTCCCCATCTCATAACATTTTACTATCGAACACATGGCTTCTTTCACAAACAACACAACTTCCGGAGATCCAAGGTATGCAATTTTTATGAGAGGCAAAGAACGTGCTTGCTTATTGCTTTTTGTAACGCAGCAAGACCTCTGGTAAATTCCACTCCGCCAAGGGCACCGCTGTCGAGACGGTTGGGGACCTGACAGGTGCTACGTCGTGGCAGCAATCCGGCAAGCAGGAGCATGCTGCCGGTGAGGGCGAATATAAGGCTGCTCAGGGCAAAGGATACACTGAAGGTACCTCGGATCGTTTTACCGGGAAGAAGGATGCCGTCGTTGGTGCCGTCACGGGTGATAAAACCCAACAGGCAGCTGGTATGTTGGTTTAAATTTTAGGGGGGTGGCTTTCTCATTCTTTTTTGTTAGGTAACACGCGCCGTGACAAGGGTGAGGCTCAGCAGGAAATCAACAAGAGTATCTGAACGTATTGCTGTAAACTATTGAGAGTCAATGTCGCGTCTACTTTACACTCTCATCGGAAATATGGATAATTGATTGTACTTTTTGATGAACACAACTACGGCATAATCTGTTAATGCCTCGACGACGCACTCCATTTTGATGAAGTAATTCCGAAGAGCGTCTTACCACGTGATCGCATCATCGCATGTTTACATCAGTTAGGTGCCGTGCAATTTCGACACAACCTGTCATGTCAACGTTCAATATTCAATGATTGACCAATCTCCTCTGCGGTCCTTGTTCGGGCTTCCAGTTATTTTGAAGCCAAATCGCCTCAACTCGATCGGCTTATATTTGATCGATACGACATAGCCAACCAAAGCCCCTGTAGATACAAAGTATAACGCTATGGACTCTCTTCAGCGTCACTCCTTTGACCCACCAACGCATTGTGTTGATGATCTTTCTGCTTATTGGAGGCCACCATTCTTCACCTCGCATCTGGGACCTTCCTGCTCACTCACACGTGCCACGCACTGCCTCAAGCGCTTTCACCAATCACGCTGGAACCTGCTGGAACACTTGACAGCCTACACGAGTGCCCTTGAACTTTGAAGGTCATTCTCAGGAACTGTTTTTATCATGACAGATCCTAAATACCGCTCAAAGTACCCACAGTGGTCATAGCTGATGACAACAGTGCACGAAGGCTGTTCCAACGCCGACTCATTAGGCTGTGTCCAAGGTTTTTTTTATGCTCCAGCTATGTCCGGACCTCTAAAACTAGAATCGGCCATGCCATGACTACACCGCACGACGGACCTTGCCACTTAGCTGCTCCTGCGCTTATAAGGAGTCCGTTGGCCTTGGATTCTTGCTAACCTGCTATCGTTCACGCCCATCTTAGTTTTGGATTCTTTCCCCGGTAAGACCTGATATCGATCCAGCTTATCATGCCTTTTCTGATCCATCTCTTATCAACAGTAGAGTTACCCGCCCACCTTACTCCTCACAAGGTCTCCAACGCGATGCCCACCGCCGAACTCTCAACTCTGGCAATTGACGCCTCTCCCTTCTTCGACATCTCCTCCTGCCCGTATATCGTCACTGATGTTAAAAAGCCACTCCCTAACATCCCTTCGAAATACGAGCACTCCCAAGATCCCTACTTCGGCTTGTGCGACATCGCTGAACTGTGCACCAGCTACCTCGTCAAAACGTTCGGATGCTCCGAGGAGTCTGACACATCCCGCTTTCTCCGGCAACCTCGCCTCCCCATCTTTATCGCCAAGCTGGTGTACAGGACTGATGTCCCCAATTCGGTCGTCTCTGCGACCCTCATTCTTCTCCAGCGCTTCCATGCGCGCCTCCCCGCCAACTTCCCCGGCTTCTCTGGCCACCGTCTCTTCCTTGCCGCCTTCATCATCGCCGCGCAGGAGTTCTGCGAGTGCAATATCGGCTCGGTGTCAGAAGCAAAGACGAGGAGTGCGAGGTATTGGAGCGAGCTTTCGCAATTCCCTGAGCGGGACATTGACGATTTCCATGGGCAATTGTTTGATGAACTCGAAGGAAATGTGACTGTTTACCCTAGCTATGGAGTATCCTTGGAGAAGATGAGGGATAGGACCGTCAAGGTCAACTTGGATGCTCAATGGGCGGTTTCTGATGATCCCGGCAACGAGAGTTCCGTGGACGACTTGTCGTTGGCGTCTTCGGGGGACTCGAGGGGTTGGAGCGTACCTTCGACGCCGGAATCAGTGGCTCCTCCTAAACCAACTCGGTCAGTGAGGAAGAAGATCGCCTCCATTTTCAAAACAAAGCGCTCTTAGATGCTCTTTTTGTTGTGGTTACTTTTTGGGACTATCATTATTGACGGTTATCACTGCTCTTTTTTATATACATCGGTCTCTAGGATGGACATTGTTGTATATCATATCCTATCACGCATCGACTTAAACTACACCGTAGAATTTGATTACTATCCCATATAACTTTACGGTAGACAGTCTACTTATCATTGTCAGCGGTACAGCTCCTCAAAAATAATATCTGCGATAGCTACTTTCAGCAATGCGTCAATTTTTGGAGAAAGTCTATGATCTGCAGCTGTTGTCTTCAGCAGACCTAAGCTCAACGTGGCACCCCCAATTTGGGTTCCCCGACTCACTCGGACGCTCCTTAATATTTACCACCTCTTTTCGATAATTAAATCGTTCACCTGGTCGTCCTTATCTTTACGAAAATATCGGGTCGGATTTAGGGACGAAGGGAAAAGCTCATCATCGGGCCTTCGCATTCTCAGACGCCGCACCTCACCCCGCAGAGCCGTTCCCCTTAGCTTCCGCACCTCGAAATAAACAATAATTCAAATTATCTTTTTTGCGCCCCCCGCACGTTCGTCCAAATGTGATCCCGGGCGCGATAGTAAATTGAATGGTAGGAAAATAATTTACAGCCACCAGAATACTATAGAGGGATTTTGATAGGAATTCGACACTGCCGACTCACTATCTGACTGCCCATTTGAAGGGAAAATTTACTGTTTCAGCAAGCATATCGAAGGAGATATGCCGAAGAAACAGAAGTTAGAACTTAGAACCGAAAGACTTCACCAGGCGGTGTCTATATATATACATATGTCTATTTACGGGCTACCCCTATATTTTACTTCCGCGAAATACAGATCGAAAACGCTGTTAGGTTCTTTCAGGGCGTCAGGCAGCCTCTCCTAGCATTGGCCCGCGCGAAGGGAGCGCTCGGGTATTCAGATAATCTTCCAACAGCGCACCGAAAAACACGAACCGCCGATCGACCCCTTCCGATCGAGGGCAGACAATGACGTCCGCCGAGCGACGGTTTTGGGTTGTGATAAGGTTCTATGTCTCAGAATTGTCATGTTGCTGATTCAGGTGAAGAGGTGTATATACTGAGGGTAGCGGAGGTTGCGCTGAAAAACCACAGCATCTAGCGGCCAGTTCTCGTTGTGAGTTACCGTCGAAAACCTCGTGGTACCCACGCACTCACCAAACCTCAGTCGCGTTTGAGTGAAACAGGTCCAAGGTCTTGTCCTAGCAAAGGTGAATCACTTTTCTCCCTCTTCTTTTGAGTCAAATTAGGGACTCACCTTCTTAAATTTTTAGCGAGCATGTCGAGAATGGTGCCTATAGAGTCCCCTGCGGCCCAGCACCCGGCTCTAGGCACCCTCATCGACGAGGACACTCTCCAGCTTGTCGAGCTCCTTGGTGTAGGGGGCTACGGCGTCGTCTACCGAGCCGTCGATGCTTTCTCCAGCTCCTTCGCCGTAAAGTGTCTTATAAGCAACCAAGGATCCTCGCTTCGCCGACAGCTCCACATCCGGGAAATCACTCTTCACCAGCTCGCGTCGGCTCACCCGGGTGTTGTCACACTCCACCGCGTCGTAGAGGAGCGGGGGTATACCTACATCATCATGGACTATGCGTCAGACAACGACCTGTTCAGCCAAATATTGCATGAGAGTCGGTATCTTGGGGATGACCAGCTCCTCAAGCACATCTTCCTCCAACTTGTTGACGCAGTGGATTACTGTCATTCCTTGGGCATTTATCACCGCGACCTGAAGCCCGAGAATATCCTTTGTTTCGACCGTGGCCACAGAATTGCTATCACCGACTTTGGCCTCGCCACCACCGAGAAGTCGAGCAAAGAATTCAGGACAGGTAGCGTGTATCACATGAGTCCAGGTAAGCTTTGAGTAACTCCTGAAGGACTTGCTTATTTATCCTCTTGTCTCAGAATGCCAGGCTGGCGATTCTGAACGTCCTGCCCCATATTCACCCTTGTTCAATGATGTCTGGTCGTTAGGGATCATACTCGTCAATCTGGCAACGGGGAGAAATCCCTGGAAGTCAGCTACGCCCGATGACTCCACTTTCCAAGCTTACCGACAAGATCCTCTCAACTTCCTTCCTACCGTCCTGCCTATTTCCCATGAACTCAACAAGGTCCTCGTTCGAGTGCTGAGCCTTGATTGGAAATCAAGGTACCGGCTCCACGAATTCCGGGCAGCCATCGAGAAGATCGAGACGTTCTACTCTCATAGCGTTGTCTTTGAGGGAAGTCTTGCCAGGTGTCCTTGGGAAGAGGGTCTCGACTTGGGAAATGGTTCAACTGTATCAGCCAACATGGACAAGCACTTCGTGACCCATCCACCAACCAATGCAGAACCATATCCTGTAGCGTCGACATCGAGTTCAAGTCAAGGGGAAGACGCGTTCAGGTACGACGGATGCCGCCCATGGGAAGAGGAGCAGGAGATTGAGTATGTCGAGGACGAGTTGGACGGGTCATATCCTTCAACGACATGGTCCTACTCCTCCAATAATTCTTTCCCTCACACTCCCTGTCAATCTGGATGTGATCCTGCGAGGAGACCGGGCGTGAGGCTCACAATCGATACTCATCATGTTTGTTATCACGACAACGAAGACGCTTCGTCGACAGATTCGTCGACAGAGCCCAGTCCAGAGGCGGCATACGCATCCTCTTTCTTCCTGGAGAGTCCAATCGCAGGTTCGGACGCGTCTTCCCTTTCGTCAGAGCCTCCTCAAGTGGAGAACGACAAGACGCGATCTCCCACCCAGTCGATCTATTCGTACAGAGAAGTGTCCGTCTTCTCTGACAACTCCTCTGAATCTGGTGAATTCGAACGGGATTACTCAGTGGGGAGCTACCAGATATCTGCGGAAGAGTCGAATGGGGACAGGGCAAGTATCATCCGGATGCCAGAGGTACACACCCCCATACCCGCGTCGAAGCCTATCGATATCTTTGGCGGGGGAGGAGGAGGGAAGAAACGGCCGAGAAAGACGAAGATGTCGAGTATCTTCAACACGACCAAGTTATTCCCTCGACCCTCAGGCCGTGCATGGGGAACGACGACGACGACGAAAGCGACGATGGACGCCCCGCACGCGTCGTCTTCTCCTCAAGTGTATCCGCTGTCGCCGCCGATCCCGAGTGGCTCGCATACCCAGACGCAGATGCAGAGCGACTTTGAGGCGCCGATGAATGCGTTTGGTCGACGAGCGCGGCAAGTCCGGTCACCGCGCCAGTGGTTCCCTACCAAGTTCTTCGTCCCTGCCTCCGACGTTGATGTGTAACTTTTTCATGCGAGACGATTCCACCACTCCCCATACATGTGTTTTCCGAGTGTCGTTTTCGTCCTGTCCTCTAAATGTCGGTTCTTCCTTCCGATATCTATCTTCATTTACGTGGTTTGTATTTACTTAGACGTTCGTTTTTCGTTTTTGGGTTTTTTTTTTTTTCGTGGGGAGAGTAGGCGTGTATTGTAGTTTCTGTGTATTGTCGTTCGTTAAACTTTGGGTTGTGATGAGAGCAGGAAAGTGAAAAGTTGACCCACGCTTATCCGCATATCCAGTTAAGCGGTCACACAGTTCTTGATAATGTCACACCAAGGTCACATCTTTGTCGCTGGACATCATACATGGCGGCGTCGACGACAGCATCCCAGGAAGAGCTCAAGGCGCACAGGGTCCCCTTGGCTTGGAGAGACCAATGTTCTTCGTGCGTCGTAACATTTACTCTCTTGTCTGTCATATGCTGACGTCCACGCCTCTTCTACTCTGCTTTTGAACCTAATGCGTTCTACTCCGATTCATCAACAATCTTTCAACGGCGTTCATTTTACTCTGGAATCAACGTATGCTAGCTTGCTTATCCCTCTGAACCTCTGCCGAAAGCAGAAACTCTACAAGCCCTGGGAATGCGAACATGAGCGACATACATACGACAAGTGCGTTTATACCGTTCATTACAACTCATAAGTAGGTCTCTTATGTCGTTTGTCTACGTGCAGGTGCCAGTATGATGAGTGAGTTGAACTTTCCTCGCTCTGCTCGGGCTTATCCGGAGTTGCTGATACACCGTTTTTGTTGTAGCTATGTACGGCGGATGAAGGAGTTGTCGAAGCTGAAGCTTGCGGCTGCAGAGGAAGAATAGATGCCACCATAGCTGGAATAGATCTTTTTTTTATATTCGCATCAAGAACAAAGTGGTTTACAAAAGCCTATTAACTGTGAAGGGGCCCCTTCAAGATGTATCCCTGTGCCGCGCTTAATAGCTCAGTCCATGAGTGCAAAACTCAGCTAGTCCCCATTCCATTCTCGTCACGTACCATCACTGGTCCTATACTCCAAGAACTCATCAAAGACAATTTGCAGCCAGTGTCTACGGTCCTGACGAAGTTTGATTCTGGGGTCGTTGGTCATTTCGTTGAGTTTCCTCTTGCAAAGGGATAACGCCGGGGTGCTATACTCCGGAGGCCCGGAAATAACGATCTCCATTTCCTCCAACGTTATCGTCCTTGATATGCATGGCACCTGATCCACAGCCCAGAGAGGGCCCATACTATTAGCGTCTGTTATCCTTCTGAAAGTTTTCATTGAAGGGTATAGAACCAAGTCAACGACCTCGTCGTCCCGCATGAAAGTTTGGGAGCTGGTGAAATGCTCGAGTTGAGGACGCTGAGGGAGGTTGGACGCACGGAAGGGACCGTGGATAGGACCCAGGACGAGAGTTTTGAGAGTTGCGGGAATGGCGTGTTCCAATTTTACCCACTTGTTTTGGTCCAGATACAAGAGAGTGAGGTGTTCGAGGTTCTTGCATTCCCATAGTAGGCGGCACACGATAGTGAGTGGCCAGACGGCAGATGCATACTCCAGATCCCCTGGCTCGTCGGGGGTTCTTCCAATGTAAATGTTGCGAATGAGGTGAAAGCGGCTGCTCATCCTGCCTTGTGGGACGTTATGGGCTGAGACAAAGGTTGAGAGATGGGAGGCCGTTGTGAATGAGATGGAGTGATACAGGAGAGGAAGCAGCCATTGGTATGCCGCTTGACAGACGCGAATAAGAGAAGCGGGTGGTGGCCAGTTTTCTGTAAAGGCCAGGAGAAATACTGTAGGGTAAACCCGTCAGACAACGAAGATTCCCGTATGTTTTGAAGGCTGCTAACTCTACCCAGGCGAATCAGAGTGACCGAAAGTCGTGTAGCAGCATGCGCACCTTGCGGATAAGTTCGACAGGAAGTGACGGTGGAGGCGACGAGAGACGAGCAGTATCTGACATTCAAATGGGGCTAGTAGCGGCAGTTGAGGAGGTTACCTCATTGCGGTCACACGGTGAATGTTCAAAGTCCAACACATTTGTATTCTGTCCACAAACTGCTACTTTGGGACCTCGCCCGCGGGTTTCCCGTCTCCCTCTCCCTCAACTCCACCACCAACTTCACCAATTACTCGCTCATGATACAGATTTGTACCGCAGAGGATGGTCAAGTGTTTCAGGTGATCCTAAAATTCATTTCGACCGAACCACAGCTTACAAAGGTTACTAGGCCAATGCATCGTTGCGGGACATCGAAAGGCAATTTGCTCCACGTCCTTTAGATACCTCACCATGCTAATGACCATTCTAGGATCGGAAGTTTAGAGCAGTTTCTGCACCAGGAAATTGGAATCGACCAAGACGCCGCACTTGTTTATTTATCTGACGGCCGACGATTGACCAACACCAATATTAGGGAACTAGCTGGAGCACAGGGTCAGGTGCGTTCTGAGCTGTTTTGTTGTTGGGTTGGGTGTCTTGACTAAGCTCGTTCCGCAGACCATCTTCGTGTTCAATAAATATTATCTCGACTATGATTTGGAGGAAGTGCTGCGTGAACTCCGGGTAGAGGCGCCGTTGCAACTTCCAATGGAAGGTACGCAAATGATACAGGCGTTTATTCACTTGACTAACGCTGTCCTTAGATGTGGTCTCTGCCACTCCCCCGCTACGCCATTCTCAGGCTGCTGCCACTTGCGTTCGTAATGCGCACATACACAATGACCACGTGAAACACCTATTTGCCTCTCTCCAGTACCAACACGAGGCTATTCGAATAGCGTCGAGCAGTCTGGACTTTAACGTCCTCGCCATCGTGGACACCTTTGACGGGATGAGTGTCACCTCGCAACGCGAGCTGGAAAGGCAGACAAAGTTGCTGAATGGCGTCGAAGCGGACTTGGAACTCATCAGCAGAGTGCAAATTCATGTCGAATTCATGTCGAATGCTGTGCGCAAGGCGATAGAAGGCGGTGAAAGGCATCGCACATTGGGGGATTACGTGTCGCATGTGAAGATGAAACAGGTGGCCGAGCTTTGTTCCCGAACCCACGGTCAGTTATATGATTTCCACTGTAGCAGATGATTTAACCCCGTGTATAGAGGATCTGCAGGTGAAATTTGATCAGGTAGAGCTGGCAGTCAAGACTCTCAAGGAAGGCACCGATGTAGTACGCTCTTCATTATCAAAAACCAAGTAAGTATGCTTAGTTTGAAGCAATCTATGTTGCTCATCAAAGAAAACAGCTTGTTGGAAGACGCGGAAGCTTGCGCACGCCGATCTCAGGATATACTTGTCAAGATTGTCGACAGCGCAGCAGCACTTGAGAGTGGGGCCTCTGATCTCGATGTCGTCATCCAAGGTACGTTCCGCACTCAAGTCCCAAACCCAACGTTCTTACCTTGTCCTCAGAGCTGCATCAACTCGATGCCAATCACCGGAGGGAAGTCCAGCTCATAACAGATGTGAAAGTAGGTGCCCGCCATCTTCCAGTTCCTCGTCATCTTTTATTCACCGCCACAGTGTAGAACGCATACACTCAACAATGCCTCACCGCCCTTCGCCAGATAAGCGTCCTCAACAATGACATTGTGCAGATCCCACCGAGTCTAGCGGCTCTTCAAGCAAGTTTTCGAGGCAAGAACAGTTTCTCTCACATCCAACGCCTGCATAATATGCTCTATGCGTACGGCGCGACCGTCATTGAGATTGTCAGAAGAAAGGAGTTTTGTGGGTACTATATTTGCAACCCTGATGCATGTATTCAACAACCACTTTAGCCCGGTTTTTTTATCAGCGGGCTCAAAGTATTTTGGAAGTCATGGCTAAACTTTCGTCAGTCTGATCTCATTCTTTAATTGCTTGGGTGTATGTTCTGACTCGGCTTGAATAGTGCCAGCGAGCGCAAACGTCGGCAAGTCTATCGCGGGGAAGTACACGGTCAATTACCGTTTGAGGCCCGAGGGATGGATGACCCTGTACCTACGATTGACTTTTCGCCATCTGGCAACTCAGACGCTGCTTACTCATTCGAACGTGAAGATGTTGATGGTAACTCGGTTTTGGCCGCTTCCTTCGGTTGTTCTCATTTGATTTTTTCCCTCTACAGGCCTACTCCGTGTATTAGAAGATTTAGAGCGGTATGCTAGGTCGACGGGTGATCCTGAAGCCCTTAAGACTGTGCAGGAATGCAAAGCATCTCTTGACAAACTTGTCATCAAAATGGATAGTTTAGAGGCGGGCTTTGACAGGATTGCCGAACGTTCTCTCCTTTCAGCTTCACGGCTTTCTTTATCCCGCCGACGCAGTCAGTTTATTAGTCCTCCGTCATCCATCTCCAATCATTATTAATGGTATTGAAACAGCGATCGAGGCTGAAGAACAAGCATATCACGAACTCGTCGAAGAACTTCGTATATCTCGTGAAGCAAAGGCTCGTCAAGATGCTGTATTCCAGGAAGAACGTAATGCTTTGCAATCCGAGATTCGCAGGCTGAAGTTGAGCCTTCAAGATGTCGACTCGTCCACTTCAACCGAACAAGACCGTGCGGGGAGATTGGAGAGAGAAGTCCATCAAGTTCGTGCTCAGTTGGAAGGGGAAATTACCGCACGTCGGATCGTGGAAGAGAGAAACAGCGAGTTGCAAGCGGACATTGAGTCTCAACGGATCGCCATTGCCAGAGCCCTTGCAGATGCCACGGAGCAATCAAAGGCCGCTCAGAGGTCGAGACAGGAGCTGGAGCAGGTGCAGTCTGAATTTGATGAGATGAAGGAGCTCGTTTCGCAGAATGAGAGCAAGATATCTGTTCTTGTCGAAGAACAAGCGAGAAACTTACGCAATCTGGAGGACGCGCGTGCCCGTGGAGAGAACTTGGAGCTGCAAATCCAAGCTGCTCAGGCAGAGAGCGAGGAGGTTCGACAGGTGTTGAAGGCGACTAGCCAGGAGAAGGACCGGCTGCTGAAGCTTCAGGCTACTGAACATGATCGGATTATCCGGGATCATATTGCAGAAGCGGACGGGGATCGTGCTGTGCTTGAACGTCAGTTTCACGAGCTCAAGAATTACCAAGAGGGTCTGGAGCGAGAGGTGAAGAACCTTAAAGCGGATATTGAGGTGGCTAATGCGGATGCGGTTGGGCTGCGAGAGGAGCTGCAGAGGGTCGAGCATGAGCTTCGAGAGGCACGACATGTTGAGCGTATCCTCCGTGATGACTTGAAAGCAGGACGGGCTTCACAATCAGATTTCGACCAACGCATGGAGAATGGTAATCGACTGATAGCGCAAATTCTGGACGTTGCCATCTGTTTCAGGAATTCGCATGTGAAAGCTTTGCAAACAGCTCAAGCCGCGTCTTCTCACCCAGCTTCGAAACATGCCAATACGCTTGCGGAATCGACGACTTTCTCGCCGGGCTTGTTGCGGATTGGGCAGCAACATGACGAGCCATCGCCGATTGACCCGTCTGATCCTGCGGCTGCGTTGGAGATATTGAGGGAGTTGGATCATGATGTTTTCTTGGAGGCTGTTGCGAAGACGGGGTCGACGATTCGGAAGTGGCAGAAGCAGTGTAAGGAGTATAGGGAGCGGGCGAAAGGGAAGATCTCGTTTCGCAATTTTGCGAAGGGGGATTTGGCGATGTTTTTGCCTACGCGGAATTCGGTGTCGAAACCTTGGGCTGCGTTCAATGGTGTGTTCTTTTTTTCGTTTTTTGCTCCCTCCTTTCTGATTTTGATTTTATTGTTTCGTAGTCTCCTTCCCGCATTACTTCTTGCAAGCCACCGGTCATCTAGCTGAGCAGCTCAAGACAAGAGAATGGATTGTTGCTCGCATTACTTCGATTACGGAGCGGGTGGTTAATCAGCAGGTATGTTCTATGGATACGTACTCTAAATTTCAAACTCTGAGCAAAGCCTTATTAGGATCCAACTAGTAATCCTTACGGCCTTGGTGAGGGTGTCAAGTATTACATGCTTGAAGTTGAAGACTGGACGCAGCCGAGTGGCAATAAACGCCGGGCTTCAGGAAGGAAGACAACATCTGAGAAAGATTCCCCAAGTTCTCCAGGATCTGGTAGACTTGGAAACAAAGCAATACCCCCACCAGAACTCGAAGTTCAAGACACACACCCTTCAAACTCCCATCTATTCCCTGTACGGACTCGGGCCAATTCGTCACCGACCGCTCGGCCTTCGTCATTATCTCGTCTACTTGCACAAGCCTCTGTAGAAAACGGTGCCGAAAATCCCACTGAGAGCCTACCAGATGATGAAATTCCGCCACCTGAATTGAGAGCATCATCGCCATCTCCATTACCATCACCGGCTGTCTCCCCTCCTTCCCCGCCACAAATAATTGGTTCACTGCCACAACATGTTCCAGGTGTTCACTCGCCCCTGCGGCCGAACTCCCGCGCATCTCGCCTCTCTTCTACGTCTCGGTTTTCAGTTGGTCGGATCCCTAACTTAGGTAGTGTGTCGACGGGTACACCCAAAGCCGCCCCAACTACCGCGTTGACTGAAGATCCAACGGCATCCTCTCCAACGTCAAATGATGGAAACCCTTTTCGCTCGCCTGTGGCTCCCTCGCCTGATGAGTCTATTTCCGACGGTCTGAATAATATCGTCAACGGGAATAGCAGCAGAAGGCGAACAACGTCCTATCACATCCCCCGGACATCTCCGCTTGCGGTAGGCAGTGCGTCCACATCTAGGGGCCCTGCTTTTTTGCCCGCGAGACCGTCTCTGACCGCCACTGCCACCCTTGCGAACCTGGCGAACAGCTGGGGCGCCTCCTTTGGCAGGAAGAAGAAAGCAGAGGTGGCGGGGGGAAGCCTCACGACCAATGTCGAGGCTTTGGCCGATGATACCCGAACAACCAATGATACTTTGGTCCGAGATATGCTTAAACGCTTAAGTTAACATTAATGATCGCACTCGTTTGGGCCTCTTGCGAAAGCTGTACTTACTAATTATCATATTTTTTTTTGGTAGAAGGTGGCGATAACCGTTTCATCAACCCTATGTTTCGTTTGAATTGAAAGATCTAGCTTGGTTTTCACCAACCCTACAGGTACGTACTTTACAACAGTTTACAACTTGTCAGTCTCCGTGCTGCGGAGAAAGTTGAAAAGATGGAGTTTCATGGCGGTGAAATACAAATCTCCCCCGATTAGCTGGGCGCTGACGAGCACTCTGCTTGAGCTTGACGAAACCAGTTATGCTACAAGAAATCAAGCCCTGAACGTGTTAACACAAAGCGACTATTGAATGCTGACATGGTTTGTTAAAACTCAAAACGCATCATTATCCTCTGCATTGGGTGTACAAAAAAGACAGTGTGATTTAGACGTTTGATATGGACAACATGAAACCGTGCTGTCAGCCCAGCAACGGTACTTCCTGACCCTTGCCCTAGTAATCAACTAAAATGATTAAGCCAAGGGTCCACAAGCAACTCCTTGGCTGTGCTTCTATTTTCCGGCAGCCACTGGAGCATTTTGCGAACGAACTCGATAAACAGTTTCTTATCTTCGCCTTCCATGTTGTTGATCGAGTTTTCAAGGGTGATACCTTGTGGAATCAGGTTCTGGCGCTTGAATACGCCTAACAGTAGATAAGTATTAGCAGTTGGTCTACGCGTAATGTGTAGATGAAACTTGCCATTAGATTCGAACCATCGGGAGGTCAATTTCCCTCGGTCAAGCAGCTCTTTAGGGGGACATCCACAGAGTGCTATTAGTTGTGCAAGATGTGCACGGCTGGTATACTTATTGTATTCAGGATCAAACCCGTCGCACAACTTTTTGCCTTCCAACAGATCCCATATCTGTCCTCGCGATGACATCAGCCTTCCTGTACTACCGGTTGCACAATAACCAACCTTACCATCACACCGAAGTTCCATACATCTGCGCTGTACGTCCAAGGTGCACCCAGAGTGACTTCCGGTGAACGGTATGGATTGGGCTGAATAGGGTGCATGAGGGGGTGTGAGACATTTCCGATCAAAATCCGTTATCACTGGTTTCCCGGGGCTTGACTTGGGGTGTCCAAAGTTGTTTCTCGAAAGGTATACTATCCTATCATCGAGAACCTTCCGGAGAGATGGCTTCTCAGCTTCACCCTTGGCAACGTCGTCGAGCACTGATGAATTCTCAAGCCTGATTAGAATATTCTCCGGCTTTATATCTTGTACTACACGTAAATGTGGTGCTGAAATATGAAGACAGATCATACCTACCGGTGTGAATGATGTGACATTCGGAATGGAGATAGTCTATCCCGGACAAGAGATACTGGAGTGTCAAATTTAGAAGATCCGACGAATACCGGCCATCATTGAAACGCTGCTGAAGCAGCCAGATAGGTTCCCGCATGGGCTCGTAGACGAGGCACATATGCGATCCATGTGGTCCCTTAGCCTCAAACGAATCAACTATTATTCGTACGAATTGCCTACCCGGATGCGATGGATTTGCAGTTGCAATAACTTGGGAAATTTGCAACTCATGGCTAGCGGATGTTTGGTCGGCATGATTGTTGGTACATATTTTCAATGCTACATAGCGTGTAGATTGCCACGGTCGTCTGCACAAGTTTAATACAAGCGGCGTCCAAGTTGCTGACGACACATACCGACGAATATCTTTAGCTAGCCACACAGTTGAACTCCCGCCATACCCTAGCTTTGTGACTACTCGATAGGTGTCACAAAAGACCTGCCCCGGATTCACGGGGAAAAAATGTCGAGGGTCGTAATCATCCTTGCGCTCTTCCTCGATCAGGGTGTCGAGTGGCGGCTGTTTTGACGACGCAGAAGCGAGCGACATAGTTGGTACCCGCGAGGGTCCAAAAGGTATGGCACGTCTTATCCACATTACATTGAAGGAATGTTTTGGCTTTCTGGGTGATTCAAATGTTTGGGAGATGCAAGTGAAAGAATCTGATGTGGGCAACTGGCAGTGTTATTTGGCGATGTTTATTATTATTTAAGTTGCACGGTAAGTAATAACGTGGCTTTTGAGTTTTGATTCTTCTCAACCGTTCCGCTAAAGACAGTTCTTAAAATCTTGTTGGAACTAGGCAAACAAAGTAATAAAACTCACCAATCTCTAACCATGCTCAAAACTTCCATATCAGCATCAGCGCGGTTCCCTTGAATCTTGATGTATACCAATGTGAAGCTAGGGCTAGGAACTGTAAGTTGAACTCAATCATTGTACATTGACCCTTTCATACAGACCTGATAGATAGTTCGTCACACAGCCAACCCTCGGTCCAAGGTTCAGTTTTGTTCAGTTACGTGTGATGAATGACTTTCATCCGCTCCGTCAAGATACACCGTACTTTCCGGCACATTCAAATGTGCGTTTTACACCGTCGTCAGAACCCGACGATTCTCCTCAGGTAGTCATCCCCTCTAGGATAACCCCGAAATAACTACATCCCGCACAGACTTCAGTCCTCCAACAATCCAAGGGCTGCATCCACAGTGGTAGACGTATGAGATTCTGAGGCGTGTATCCGATTGGACAACAAGCGACACGGAAGACTTCTCACAAAGATCCGACATCGCTATCTGACTGGCTGTGCGACCAAGTTGTGTGCTCACTGGCTACCATTTGTATCGCCGAGTGTAGTTCTCCCACATGCCAAAATCCAGGTTCGGAAATTCCCTCGGGCGACGAAACAGAGTGTACCTCTGGAAAATCTGCATCTAGGGTCGCCTCCTACCGTTGCTTGACACCATTTCCTGCTGCAATGCTATAAAGAACCATGCTCGCTTCTGCAACTTCTCATCAGTCTACACGCTACCCTCCTTGCACTCAGTCATACACTTGAAGCTTGACAATGGGTGGGGGTGCCATCGAAACCACTGGTGTAAACGCCAAATATGGTCATCTCATCAACCCTCGGAGAAAATGGTACAATAACAGGCGGTATGTTCAAAGTCTATACCCATTCCCTGCCTCTTAGCCTATTTAGATTGATTACCCTTAACGCCTGGATCTTTTTACTGTGAGTCAATTGATGCCGTATAGACGTATCTTTTCATGTTTTGTCTAGCCTCATCACCTCTTCAACCATCGGTTACGATGGAAGTATGATGAATGCTCTTCAATCTACTCCCCAGTGGAAAAATTACTTCAATAATCCCACTGGTGGAAAGCTCGGTCTCCTCAACGCCATACAGGTCACCAACGTTTATCTCAACTAATTCCTGGCGCAGTCTTAACAGCTTGTTTGTACAGAGTATCGGAGTTTTGGCTGGGCTTCCGTTCGCTCCATATGTATCTGATGGCCTCGGACGTCGTTCAGCTATCTTTTTTGGTGCGGTGATTATGTGCATTGCAACGGCTATACAAACGGCCTCTCAATCCATTTGGATGTTCATCGGTGCTCGGTGAATCCGGTTATCAATCACTAAAATGTCGTCAACTCAATAATTTCTAGCTTCTTAATTGGTTTTGGGCTTAACTTCGCCGCCAATGCCGCACCCATGTTGATCACTGAAATTTCATATCCCACATACCGTGCCCCCTTGACGTCAATGTACAACTCTCTGTGGTACTCCGGAGCTATTGTGTATGTCCTATTTTATCTATTCCCGTGTAATCTGTCACTGATATCTTTCCATAAGTGCCGCCTGGACAACCTTTGGAACGTTGAAGATTGACAACAGCACATTGGCGTGGCGTATCCCCTCTGCTCTCCAAGCCCTGCCATCGGTTGCCCAGGTTCTTTTAATCTGGTTTGCTCCCGAGTCCCCTCGGTGGTTGATCAGCAAAGGAAGGAATGAACAAGCTCTCAAGACCCTTGCCTATTACCATGCTGACGGCGATGAGTATGCATATCTTAGACGTGGTTGTCTCGCTCCTCTAACTTCCAGCTAGGGATGACTGTTTCGTCAAGTATGAGTTCGAGGAAATCAAGGCCGCACTTGACTTGGATCGTACAGGTTAGTTACTTTGCAGGTGACTCGGAATTCTATTTATGTATACTCACCGCAGTTGCCGTTGGATGGATGACACTCTTCTCCACTGCCGGGAACAGAAAGCGCATGCGCATCATCATCGCCCTTGCCTTCTTCTCGCAATGGTCTGGCAACGGTCTTGTATCATACTATCTGAACAAGGTTTTCGACACCATCGGCATTACGGATCCAACAATCCAGTTGCTCATTAACGGTATCCTTCAAATATGGAACTTGTTCTGGGCTCTTTTGGCAGCCTCAATGGTCGACAAAATTGGACGACGAATCCTCTTTATGGTCTCCGTCTGCGGCATGATCATCTTCTTCACCCTCCAGACTGCATGCTCTGCTACGTTTGCGAAAACTCAAGATCGCGGTGCTGCCCACGCTGTCATTGCGTTTATCTTTCTGTTCTATGCATCCTATGAGTGAGCCACGTTGTGTTATTCTGATCGAGGGAACCAGTTCACATTTTTGCCTCTCAGCCTGGCATTCAGTCCACTTATCATCTCATACACGGTCGAGATTCTGCCATTCCGTCTCCGTGCTAAAGGCTTCACCGTCTTCGGCTTTGCCATTTCACTCTCGCTCATCTTCAACCAATATGTCAACCCTATAGCCCTTGACAAAATCGGCTGGAAATACTATGTACGACAACGCTATCACATTTGACTATAATATCATTCTAATTCCAACATCTTTCAATCAGATCGTCTATATCTGCTGGCTTTCTTTCGAAGCTGTTTTCTTGTGGTTCTGTGAGTCCTCCACAACAGCACTAGCTGAAGAGTCTAACCGGCGAGTTCAGATGTCGTCGAGACCAAGAACTGCACCCTAGAAGAGACTGCTGCCCTGTTCGATGGCGACGGAGACAAGGATCAGATAACTCCCACCGTACTGCAAGTCCAAAAGAAGGATGACATGTGCGACTCCCTTGATGAGGATGAGGTGGTCAAGGCATAATTTCAGGCCGTAGTTCAGGCTGTATTTATGCTATCACCCAGACGTTCGGCTTTGCTGCTGAGAGCACTAGGCTATACCCCTCGTTTTCTTCCCTCACTACAATTGTAACAAAGATCGCACCCGTTTAATTATGAAAAGTATCATATCACATTTGTGCGGCTTCGGCCTATTCGTAATTTCTGAAACAGGAAGAGAACGCAAAAACATCGGGTCAAAGGATTCTTCCGCTGGCCACATGCTATTGAGTGGCGGAGACGCGGCCTGAGGATCTAAGGTTCGTTTTCGTTGTATAATATAAGTACACAGAAAAGCAAGTCCAATGTCTCGTTATGGGTAAGAGAAGAGTAGATGAGAAATTTGTAGGTAGAGGGATGTGTAAAGAAGTGTGGAATACGTATATACCGACAACTTAGCCACCAGCCGAATAATGATATAACGGAGGAAGGGTTATTGTATCGCACTACTGTACAAAGAAAGATGAAAGACGAGGAAAAGTACGCGCAGAGGGGGTCTCGTATAACATTATGGGAGGAAGGCCATCTAAGGGAGATGTAATTATGGGAACAAGGTCGGTAACCCCAGCCGAGGTCCTGGAACAAGGAAAGGAGAAAACGGGAGATTCATCCGGAGAACAGTCTCTGCTTTCCGTAATTTTAGTGGCAGCTGAGAAGGATTTTGTGTTTCGCAAACTGATGGTTGATAATAGGATGTAAGGCGTAGGCGCGTGGTCTTTTTCTCCCGTCCTCCGCGGTGTCCTAATCGCTGTTTGCCCATCTCCATCCTTCCCACTCTTCCTCCTCCCATGCTACCGCTTCCGGACAGCGGGGTACTGCTGCCACGACCTCGACTACACGAGCAACCATAAATAGATACTGCTACACCACACCGTGCTTGCGAGGTTGCAGATCCCCAGTCCTCCCTCAATAACCGTATCTTACCAAACCGCGACGCACAGGAATGAATGAATGAATATAAGGAATAACAGCGAGAACAAGCAAATGAGCGGGAGAGAAGAAGAGAAAACGTAGCCAGGACCGGAAATGAGAAAGGCGGAAGTCGGTGTGGAGGATGGCTGCAACCAACAACTTGTGCACAATCTAGCCCATCTTGTTGTCCTTCTTCTTTGGTTTGCGTGGAGGTGTCACAGGCCGTCCCATATTCATCCCGCCATATGGGTATTTCGCCTTTTTCTCGGCAGGTTTCAGAATCTGTGCAAGACGCGTTTAGAATTGTTGAGTATATTCAGTGCGGTTGTAACAAACCTGGAAAGAACACAGTAGTGTTTCGTCCACACTCATCATTGCTCCTGCGTTGTCGAACTCTCCACAATAGTTCGGTGCTGAAAACAGAGTCACTAAGTGTCTCTTGGCGAAAAACTCGTAGCCATCCTCTACAACCTAAACAAGGAAATGAAGGGCGTTAAATGAGTGTCACGACATGATTATCTGAGCCAGGCACAGGATAACAATCCCGGTGGCTTCAAGGTGGCCCACATACCTGATGAGCTCGACAGATCAAATCCATGTCATGCTTCTGCAAGAATCGTGAAACCACGTCCGGTCCGAATGTGAATGACACCCCTCTGTCGTTCTCGGACCATCCAGTGATATCTTTGTCTGGGTCGGACCAAAGTAGATCGCAAAGCAGACCTAAAATGAGAAACGTGCCGTCAGTACATTCGGAACGGAACCGAGAAAAGTGCCAAAAAGACTTCACACCTGTGTCAGGTACATCGGTGGGCCGCATTACTCTCCGTATTTGTTCCATCGATTGCAAGTCCGGGCTCAGACCACCATGCATCGTGAAAATTTTCTCGTCAATAATGGCAGCAATCGGCAAACAATTGAAGCAATCCGTAAACGTCTTCCATAACTTAATGTTATAACGGCGTTTACCTGCCAAAAAAAGTGAGGAATGCAAGAGTTGGAATGGAGGATGAGACGCACATTCGTCATAAAACCCGTATATCCTGTTGATACTGGCACACTCGTGGTTGCCTCGCAGGATGAAGAAATTTTCGGGGTATTTGATCTTATATGCGAGGAGGAGGCAGATAGTCTCGAGAGACTGCTTTCCTCGGTCAACGTAGTCACCAAGGAAAAGATAGTTGGCTTCTGGTGGGAACCCGCCATATTCAAAAAGCCGGAGGAGGTCGTAATATTGGCCATGAATGTCGCCTGACAAGCATCAAAAAATGTCAACATCACTCCATACTGTCAAAAAAAAGGGTCCAAGGACGCACCACAAATCTTTATGGGGGCTTCAAGTTCGAGAAGAATGGGTTGGTTGATGAAAATTTCGCGAGCTTTTGTACACAAGTATTTGATTTCGTATTCTTGCAGTTGAACCGGTTTTCCCGGTCGGTTGCCTCGGACTAGAGGACAAAGAGAAAAAAGGATGTGGGTTAGCGGGGGTTTCCTGGGTAACAAGAAGGGTTATCGCGCTGTGCCGCTGAGGATCGTAAACGCAGTTCGCTGAAGCATGCAGTGCCCACGAGGTGCCTGGCGGTGAGTCATCACCCCCATCACGAAAAACGACCACAATTGCGGACGACCATGACCCATCCCACCCATCGCCTTTGCTGAGGGCCAATTATACAGCCTTGCATGCTCCGCTACCATCTCCTCGACCCATTCGAACCAGGAAGTAAGCAGTGGTGGCGTGCCAGCTCACCTTCAAGGAGACGGTCGATGACCGAGTCCAGATCAATCTCTGTCGTTGTATCTGCCATCGCTTATATGAAAGATCGCCTCCGCTTTGAGTTCTAACCCGCTAGGTGTGCGTCTTGAAGTGGCTTTATGTCACGGATGAGGTTGCCGAAAAACGGTGAAAAAAAAAGAGCGCCTGGAGAGTTGGTGTGCAACCCAAGGATATTTTAGAGGTAGTCGTGGGTAGAATGGGCGAGGGTCGTCGATGCAGCCTGCTGTAAGAGGAGTGGAGTGACGGCAAGGACGTATGGGACGACGAGCAAGGGTGGTTTGGGCAGAATCGATGATTGGTGTTGGGCGGTGCAGATAACACCAAACGTTCCAAAACCGGCCAACTTCGGAGAATCGTGGGAACTCAGCAGCAAAATGGCGAAATATTGGCTACAAGGCGGATACAAAAAAGCTACTACTACAACAGAATGTCCGCAAGTCCGATATAGCTTCAATTACGAGGTCCTCCGCAACGCTGGGGCCGCCGCCGTCGCAGAAAGCGGCGATGGAACACCCACCGTGTCTGTTGGAATAGCAGGACGTCGACGCCGTCTACGTCTGCAATTTACTTAGCACTAATTGTTGGTTAGAAAAGAGCTCCACATACCTCGGAAAGAACGGGCCTCTAGGCATCGGCCGTTCATCCAAATCAAGAGAAATATTAGTTGAAGATTGAAGGGCCTTCGTCCATCTCAGTCACATAGTACAGCAAAAGATTCATAAAACACACCTCGATCCACTGGATGACGCTAGCAACATCTTGTGCCTGCAACAAAAACTGCTCGCCCTCCAACCGAACGCGAATAACATTTTTTCTCTTGAGATAATCATTGCCCAACCCACTCTCCGCGTGCTGCATCGTGTATGCTCTGATCAGGTCAGTAGGGTTCGGTACGATCTCTTTTTCTTTCCCCTTCTCTCTAACAGAAGGGGTGTGCGTACTACTATGGCTTGAATGATGAGGGGCATGTCCAGGAGGTCGGTATTGGGATCGCCTTGATGAAGTAGACATTGCCGTACTTGGTCGAGAGAAAAGTTGTGAAGAGGAAGGCGAGGGTACACCGCTTGACATCCCATGCCCGTGCGACGAGGATGGAGGCACCGGAGAATTAGACCTCATCAGATTGTACGAGGAAGAGGATGTTGGAGTCGTTGACCCGCTTTGAGAAATATTCAAAGATGGCCGGGGAGACTTTGGTTTCGCTGGACCCGGAGGGAGATCACTATTTGATCGTCCATGTCGTGAAGGCTTGAGCAATCCTACAGCAACGCTCAGTGCCGACCTCGTAGCAGGGAGAGTCCCATGGTCCGCCTCTCTGCCTTGTTGAGATCCTCGCGGTGATGGAATTTGCAGTTCCATTTGTCCAATACCTCCAGGTCTCCTTTCCACCTCGCCCTTCTCCCTCTGCACAGCAACGCCATTTACAGCTACACTGGAGCTCCCTGCCAACCCAGCATTGGCAGTCGTACGAGGGTCATCATCGACGGTTACACTCCCCACACCAACTTTACTTTCCCACCATCCTCCAATCGCAGACACCCCTGCCGTACTAGCAGGACATTTGTACACCTTAAACGCAGTGCCCTCCAACACACACAGGACCCTCCGCCACTTTCTGTCCCTTGCTTGCACGCCAGGTGTACTGAATTCCACCTTTCTTGGCATGATCGCTTTGAGGTAGACGGGATTACTATAAGCAGGGAGTTTCTCCTTCCCTTCGTCCTCCCTAGGTTGGATTTTAAACTCTGGGCGTCCTAGTCCACGTGGCGCAAAGTCAGGGTAAGGCGGAGGTTCGGTAGCCTCGCTGAAAGTGGGCATTGACCGGCGCTTGCGAAGGGGATGCGAAGAGGGATCGTAAGGAGGAGCAACACTCATTCGATTCTTCTTTTTCTCTCCTGGAGCATCCAACGAATCTAGAGGAAATGAGACGTGTCGGTTCGCATCTGTGTCTGCCACCACAATCGAAACGACATCTCTTCCTCCAAGCCGAGATTGCCTTCTCCTCGTCTTCTCTTGTATATCCTCCTCCTCTCTGACTATCATCTCCACCATCTCCTTCTTCGCCATAGCATGAATATCAATCAAGCTGCGAGAAGCTCGCTTATTCATACCAGGACGCAAGCTAGGGCCAGCATGCAAGGTCGAAAGACGCTCCAGTCGGGGAGGGGGAATGACGGAATGGCGAAAACGATCGGTCGGCCGTGGAGTTTGAACTGGCGAAATGTTCTGTGGATGAGGTGTGCGGTCCACTGCTCTCTCATCAGCATCAGGAATCCTTGAGTTGAAATAGTCGTTATCATTTGGCCGTTCTATTTGAGTAAGGATCGACGGTAATGCTGGAGGAAGAGCTGCTTTGCCTTTGATGTCGGTTAATGTTTGCGAAGAATTGAAAAAAGATAGGTCGATAGGTGATGTTTCCAGGAGTGGCAGAGAAGGCGCGTGCTGAGATGGTCGCGTCCCTGGTGGAAACACATCTTCGATTGGCGAGGGATCTGCCTGAGCAGTCTTGTACGACGAAGATCGTGATGGAGTTCTATCCAAGCTTATACTACTTGTTTCGCTGCTGATGCTTGGACGATGAAAGGGTTCCTCGTCGTCGTGTCTAAGCCCGCTGGAGCCTTCGCCCATATCATCCTCTACCTCATCATCATCATCGTCCTCGTCGTCTTCCTCCCCATCGTCATTCTCTTCTTGGCCACCAGCACCCCGACTTGTACCTTGTAGAGGCAAAGCCGGCATGTTTTTCAGTCCCAAGCGGGACCGTCTCTCTGTGACCGTCGGTGAAGCCGTACTCGCCGTAGGCAGTTGCGGAAGATGAAGAATAGGAAGGGGCGGAGGCCGCAAGATGACACTAGGAGACAGACGCGCCATGCTTCCGCCGGCAAGTGTCACACTAAATCTGTGGTTCGGTGGTGGGAGGGTGAGTTTAGGTCGTTGTGGCACTGCTTCTGAATTACTCAAAGTGGTGCGAATAACGGTATCTAGAACGGGTGGGGTAGCAGTGATTGCAGGAGTAGAACTAGCTGTGACCGCTTTTGGGCGACTAGGGAGAGTGATGGAGGGAGCAACATCGCTCCATGCTTGCGTAGGAATGGATACTGGCGGGGGAAAAGGGGAAATGGAAGACGTTGGGCTAGTTGGACTATAGGCCATCGATAAATTAGGTGATAATTGCGCAGGAGATGGATGCGATGGACGTCGTTGAAGTGGAGGAACAGGTGGTGGTAGCTCAGAAGGCGTGGGCGTATTGTCCCTCAATCGAAACATTGACGGTGTCCTAGAAAGTGTTCGAACAAGGCCACGCATCCCGCCAGAAGTCTCGCCCGAACCTGTCCTTCCTGGAGTCCTCGGCCGCTTCGGTGTCGCAACCGGCGTCGGTGGGAGGGCCTTTGATGATGTATCAAGCGGCAATGGTGTGTGAAAGGGCCGCGGATTGGGAATGGCAGGCAAAGCGTCTACGTTGGTGCGACTGCCTATCGATAACCCCGCATGCGCAGCAGGGGCAAGGCCAGCAGATAATGTGTGGCTGTTCGACTTTTGGGTATCGGGAGGTGTCTTTTTCGAAAGGTCCACTTGGGAAGTTGGTCGAGAGGGCGACACGGATTGTTCAGAGGAGGTTTCCCCATCGTGGTCGGGTTGGTGGTAGTTGTTACCTGCTAAACCAAGAATAGGCTGCGACATGTACGGTTTGACGCCAGGATCCCTCGACGAGCGACTTTGCTTGGCATAAGGATGATTATCGGCTTCCCTATCATCAGTCGGCTTGCGGGTGGGAATACGAAAGATGCCCTTGAACTGGGAAAATTTTTGCGACATTTTACTTGACCTGACCTAGAAGAAAGTAAAAAGGGCGGTCTTGTCATTTGTCAAGGGGGCGACGCACCTGTCTGATGGGCGTTCGAGGCTGCAAGACTTGGGCTCGAGTGGGCTCTTCCATTGGCGATATAACAAGAAAGAGGGAAAGATCAGTAGTAGGTGGCAAGTGCGATGCAACAATGGGCGCAATAAGGCAACGTGTTACGCCAGCGTCTCACGGAGAAGGTTCAGACGAACCAACTTCGGCTGGCTGCAGCAGTCGCGATGCGCAGCGAAACTATGAAATCCAACAAGGAGCTATGGGCGGTGTGTTTTGGTGGAACGCGAACAAGTGATGGATTGCTGGCGGTGATAAGTGGCGGCCAGGACGAGTGCTGCTTTTTATAGTTTCCTCGGGACGTTGACAGGCGGTAAAATTGAGAAAGTTAAACGTGAATGAGACGGTGAGGACGTCGAGGGCGTCGAGGGCGTGGAGGAGGGGTACTTGGAGGAAGAGCACGTTGGCGGAGGGCGCTATTTGGTATATGTTTCTGATAACAGCCTCATTTTCTATTATCGCTCTGTAAAAGCAATGACGTCACGAGTTAGGACCAATCGCCACTCAGATAATTTATATTACAGTTCTCGGCAAGTACTAAACAGCCGGCCATTTTCCCTCATCACCTTTCTCTAGCGACGAACGAAAACTTTGCTCCTCATTACCAGTTTCTTGAATCCCAAGTTGTTCATGAACATCTCGAAGTTCATGATGCTCGACATGCACAAACACCTCTGGGCGCGCCGGAGCTCCAAAGCTTATCATGTCCTGCTTTTAGAAACCAGTGAGCAATTTCTGCTGTGAAATTTAAACAAGCACGACTCACTTGTTTTGAATTGTGGACACGCTGGGACGGGGGGACCATTGCGCTAGAGGTATTAATGCCATCCATTGTTGAAGGCTGCGTAGTGGATCCGTAGAACACTTTATGTCGTGCGTTGAGACTACTCATGAGGGAGTTTGTATATAATTTTGAAAGCGGAAAGCTGAACAGAAGGTGAAGGCCGGATGGCTGGAAATCAAAAGTCAACACTGAGAACGTGAATGCAATTAATTGCAAAACAGTACTGACAACAGCAAGATAAAAGGCAAGATCCAACGCCGCAATAATCATGGTAATGAAACCAGTTTGAACGGTGACTGTATTCATATTTAGCGGAACAAATAGCAGTTCTGAAAGGTGGCTCTTACTGCGAATGATGCGGTCAACCATCATGTCGGAGCGTTGGAACCCTGTCTTGTGTTTTCGCTACCAGCAGATGGCGTCAATGTGTCAGTTAGGTGATTTTACGCTCAGCGTCTTACCCTAACGTAAGACCATCAATAATCGCATTGAAAACAGAGAATTGAAACACCCACAAAGTGTGGACCAGAATAAATGTAATGAAAGCATCACATGCCACGGTACTCCCAAGCCAAGCGCTAACTACAGCCTAAGAAGCACAGAAAACCGCAAATGTTAGCGCCAAAATTCTTTGTCAAAAATAAACACAAAACACCTCGAAATTTCTGAAATCCACAAAGTTGGGCGTCCGTCCAACCTCAAAAGCGGTCATAATTCCACATACTGTGCGTCAAAGGAAGTTACAAAAAACCGGAACATCTTAAAAAAACAACTCACTTCCGGAAGTCAAGGAGGTGACAACGACCAGCGCGACAAGGGCCCAATTTTTCGTCAAAAGCCAGATGCGCCTTGCAAAGAAGAGTTGCACAGAGCTAGCGATAATGGCCGTCAAAGCTGGCTCTATAACGGCGTTTCTTTCATCGGCAAGTCGGGGACGGAGGAATGAATGTGTAAATACCAGTTGCGAATACTGGATTTCAGGCATAACGAGGTAAGTTTGGGATTTCGAAGTCAAACATTGCAACTCACTCCAATCAGCGACACCAAGCGCCTCCGCATCGCCTAACAACACATATCAAATCGGTTTCGACACGAGTAGGCTCATGGCAGCGTACCAAAATCAATAATGAGCGTCCGATAAAGATAAACAAAACAGAATATCGCGTTGACCAGGTCGGCGATGAAAAGATATGAAACCTAAATCGAGATTGAGTGCTGGTAATGGGTAAAGGAAAGACGAAAAGTGAACCAACAAAACATTTGAGCCCCCACGAATCCCTAAGTAAGTGAATAAAAGTTGGGGTCAACCTTGTCACCGCATCTTTGCTCGAAGAAGTGCTCACTTTTTATAGGACGTGTGATAGACGTAGACCTGGGCGATCATAATTCCAAACAGGAGGATATTAAGCATCAGTCCGATGAACATGTACCCGTGGCTTGATAGACCGGTAAAATGAGCATGGTAGAACGAAGAGGAAAATATCTGCCAATGGAAAAAAATTCACGCGACTTCTGCTGGCTTCATTATTCTTGAGACGAATGGGTACCCCGAGTTAGCGAGTAAGATTAAAGAAAAAAAGCGGGAGGCGCGGGGGGGATAGAAGGATCCAACAACTCACCGTGGTAGCAATCTTGCGGGTATTTAACGGAGATCAAGATTTTCCGAGGTTACGTCCTTCTCACAGGACGGTGGGAGGACCTTGAATCAGAATATGGCAAGCACCCTGGTCACCCTGAAGTGGCATGCGCATCCCTGAAAGATAGATAACATGGTCGAGGTACACCGCTTGGATGTCTTTAAAGACTTGTTGTTTAGGAAGATTCACTCTGGGCCACTGCCGTTGGTTTCCGGGTATATGTGTTGTAACGTGCCCCGTGAAGAAAGATTTTCATTTGCAATCAAAGATGTGGGAGCGTACATCATCCCAAAGAATCAAGATTGCCCCATTTACGCTCTCTAACATGTCGACGGGTATAATGCGGGATTACAAGACCTTGAGGCCTGAGGATTCCCGAAAATCGCCGGGGTACATGGGAACCAGTTGATACAGGGACTCGTGAACTTTGAAACTAGCACATGGCAAGTTTTACGCACCACGAAGGAGTCTTCTTTGTAGATTTGGGGGGGTTAGAAGTTACTGTGGGGAGCGGCAACGCCTGCAAAATCAGCGTGACGCTTGTCCTTGTTTGGCTCCCACCAAACTTTACATCTCGGATGTATTAAGGTCTTCGCAAAGTGGTTTGTTGGATCGTTTGGATTGTAGAGGGTCCGCCCAGCACTTTCACGTCTCTTCGAAGTAGTAAAAAATGTAAATTACATGACTAGGATAAATGTTTAGTAGGCGAGTTCCATATCTGCGTCGCTATCAACATCAGAATCACTACTTGGCCTGGGGTGTGTGTAATTATTTTGTTCTAGTGTAAGCTCGGGTGAGCCCAATTGTTGTGCGGCCTTCGCAATGCGAATGAGATGGCGTTCGACAGCTTGAATTAGTGCTTGAACCTTGAGTTCCTTGTTTCCCAACCGCGCTTTGATAGGAACCTCCTTATCGAGCCGCCGAAACCATCCAATCTCCAAATCCAGACTGGCATTTGTTCCCGGTGAGGACTTGATGATTGCAATGTCAAGCCGACACACCACCTTGTCAAGCTCATTGTTGACCTTAAGGAGATGGTTATCGATTGGGAAGTGTTTCGCGTGAAAATGTCGCCAGTAACGCGTCGTATTGTACGTGCGCGACGGAGGACGACAATCTAATTTATGTGCACGTGATTGTAAATAAGCCAACCTGTCGAGCAACTGTCGAGAACCGCTTGTGGCTCAATCGGTACAGGTAAGGCCTCAATTTTTCGGGAAAACACAAGTGGAAGATGCGAAACGGATCGACTATTTGACAAATTCTGGAATATATGATTTTCAAAATTTAGTTCAGAGGAGACGAGAGTGCAACACCAGATTGAAACAATATATTAAACATCAGGGAAATAGATAATCCTACATACCATAAAATGATTGAAATCTCTACTTTGTTTTTATCTCAAGTGTGCTGTGGAAGGAGAGCCCGAGGACGACCACCAACAAGTCGCGCTTAGCCATTACCCGAACCGGAACAGGCGTGTGGGACAATTACGGCGGAGTTGAATTTCTCCTGATGCATTGCCGCCCCCCAGTTACTGGTCGTGAACTCGATGTTTGGCATCAACGTCCGGGCAGACAAACAGAACCACTTCTCCGCAGCTGAGAGCTGAGTTGAGATGGTACTTAGACGCTCTTCCTTATTATTGCGATGCGGGGCGCAGTAATCTTTATTTGAAGCTTGATACTTAGAGGAGGTTTTTAATTTTGCTATGCTCGGAGGCAATATTTCCGAGTCGGCTCGGGGTCAACTCAAGCAAAGGCACAGAACTCCAGAAGTAGAGTAGTCTGCATTCAATCGCGCCCATCAAACCGTAGTAGAAAATTGATGCCCTTTATTCCCACGTTTGAGTCATGTGAGAGCGCTAATCAACGAGACGCGACGCGTCGGGTTCGGATAGTGAAAGGCATCCGCAGCCATGCTCGGCGATGAACACCCTCAATATACACCCAGCACTCCTCTCACTCATTTGCAATGCCTCCTCGCCCATTTTACCCTTTGTCAACTACTCACGATGCAAATTCCGGTACACCCATCATCAAAGATACTCCTACCCAGCCTATCTCGCTACCCCCGGTTCTCAGTACCTCCAAACATTGTTTAAACGCAGTTACCAAAGAAAAAGTAATGAAATTTCGGGCCAGAGTGTATCGAAGACGGGAAAGGCCGAAGTTTGGGCCTGTCAACAACAAAGTTTGCCTCTGTTGTCAGACTTGACCATGTCAAAACCCTCTACCTGATGTGGGTACCTCGGAGGACGAGGTCAGCGACCCAGATGTCGCAAACTTGATGCTTTTTCGCTTTTCTGCAAGAGACACTTGAGTGGACCAATGATTTGGCAACATATCCTCCATCCACAAGTACCGTTGAATTTTAAGGGTTCTTTGAGGGTTTTGAGACATAGAACACGTCTGCTCTCCCCGATATCACGTTGAAGGCATCACTAATTAGTGAACATGACGCGGTCGTGGGAACAACACGTGATCAGTTTATTTTACTACGGTTTGAGGGGTGCAACTAAAAGCAGACTCCATATGAGGGAGATCGACTGTCATCACCATCATCATAGGAGTTGCCTACACCACTATTTGGGCCAGATGTGGAAGCAACCTAGAGCATGCGGCCTGTAGGCTGTCCACTATATTTTCCCACATTGTCACCAGTGTGATGGATGCTGGCCACCAGCTCAAAATCGAACTAATAGGGGTCTGGTTCCAGGCTAGCTGGAATAGACGTGTCGGGTCCAGCCCATTCCCAGCTGACCATCCTGGCTATCATCCTTGTGGGTGGTTATCTAGAGGGGGTATGTATTATAGTATGGCCACAATGTATTCAACCACCTGAAAATCCCATTTAAATCCCCACCTCAATCCAACCATATAGTTTTAGAAAGATTTATGATATTTTTTACTCAGTAACAATGAGGGGGATAATTCATATACAATCGATCAATACTACTTACTACTACTACTGGAGAGGCTAGTTATATGCTATTGCTTACCCCCCCAATGGCTCCCTTCCCTGCTATCATGATACTCTCTCCCATGTGCCCCCTTCGTTGACTGGTGGTGGAGGTGACATGACGGCAAGCAGTTAGCGACATGTTGGCGACATGAGGGGTGAAGTAGTCTAGAGAGGGAATGTACACATTAGCAGGTAGACCATAGACATCATAGGTTGACGTTGGCGACTTACTGCAACAGGGTTTGGACAAACGAAACAGTGAGGGCAGCAGCCCCTGATAGGCGGTGCCGGTGAGCACTTACTTACCAAGCAAGGGAGCCTGACGTGACAGGCGAGGGGACGTCGACCATGATGTCGAGGTTGGTCAACAGGGTGTCGACGTGGCAGCGTGTTTGCGTCTGTGGCTGGTTAGTGTGGTGTTGTTGCTGGCAATGCTAGACCCCCTCCAAACTTCGCCAGTCATATGTGTTGGGCGTTGGTGTGGAGCTGGAGACGGTGGAGAGGCATGACGTGGTCGATAACGATGGTGGCAGCGGCAAAGACATGTGATTGTGGCGAGGTTGTAGCTTGACGAGGGAGGCAATGGGGTTGACGACAAGAATTTGCGCCCTTTTTGACGCTGTGGAGTACGCTGAGTATGAACATATTTCCCACACTCTTTGTCAAGTATGTTTCACTAAAGTTGTTCCGAAGGCAATCCGAAGGGGGTGAATAAATATAAATTTAATGATTAAAGAGGTGCTAGATACTATGGACTTCATAAAACGTTTAGTCCTGTTTTTACCATGCCCTCCGAACCACATCAGAAAATGCTTATGTAAAGTGTGGACTTTAAAACCGTGTCGCGTCAATTTCGAGGAACCTCCTCATAACTCTCGACGCGTTTGAAACTTTTCAACACTATCTGCCATCACAAATTTCATTCATACTTCATTATGACCTCAACATTAATGTATAGCAATGTTCAAACTGTCAGATCCTACAAGAAATTAGAACCAATCCCTGAAATACCCGAAACTTCAGCATTCATCACACCCTTCCTGCCATCTTCGTCGAGTTCCCTTCTTCCAACATCTCAAAATGACCAACATGGGTCGTCACCTACTACACCTCCATTTTCCAGCTCCCCATTTAACAATTTGAGCTCCCTTGGTGGATCTTCGAGCCAACCTCGACTGATCAAACCTCCCAAAGCGACGCGCGGAAGCTGATATTCAAGTTTGAGAGAATGGAAATGTTTCTAAAGGACTCGGGATTCGACTCTGTTGGTGACTTTTTAAAGATTTCCCAGCCACCTCTCTGGGGAATCAGATCCTCGAGGCTCTTGGAACGTGCCGTTGCTAAGATATCAAACAGGGAAAGCGACCGCGTAGAAAAGACCTGATGGTCCCAAAGGCTAGACGAAAAGAAAGACCCCATTCATTGATCAGATGGACCTCGTCGATGCACACTCCTTGATTTCACCTGCTAAACAGATCCCAGCCATCCGTGCGGTGCTCAAAGTCTCTTTGCAGTACGAGAATGCAGAGATTTTCTGTCTTGATGTTCATGAACCTAGGCCGAAACTCATCAGTAGAACGAGGAAGATCACTGATAGACATACAATGTTATCAGCCAGCCCCTTTTTTGGTGTGATTACAACCCCGATTGGCTGCTTCCGAGTTGGAAGCCCAGCTATATACGCCTTCGAGCGTTCGTTATACTCCAAAAGCACAAGAGCCGGGACTGAGAACATGATTTTCCGTTGCCAGTGGCAGTATAGCACAGCATGCTCTCTCCATCCAGAATGGCAGAAACGAGCTCCAGTTGGACCACACGCAATCCATTTGTCTAATGCAGTATGAGTTTCTTGACAATTGTGTCTTGAAGTCCTTCAGGGACCTGCCAGTGGGGTTGTCGAGCCATCATTAAGTCATCATAATGAATCAGAAATCAGTCAGGATGTAGAGTATCAAGTTTGACGTGTATTAGGGTAGAAATGCTCGGGCTATCGCGTCGAGAGCAAAACGGCAAGGAGGTAATATTGACGCGACACGGTTTCAAAGTCCACACTTTACATAAGCATTTTCTGATGCAGTTTGGAGGGCATGGTAACAAACAGACTTCATACATCGTGAACCAAGGTACGACTTCACATGTATCGAAGTCTGTCTAGGAGAGACTATAAAACGTGGTACTTGAGTGAGAAATGTGGAGGTATCATAATTTGTGGGCGACACTGTTGAACAGCTTTAGACGAGAGCTGGTGTCCACAAAGTAAACTCCTAGCTGCCAGCTGGGATGCGGCAGGCTGCCCAACAGCTGTCAATTGGATAGCCAACAGGGGGGAGGTTTGATGCTGATCAGGAATTTCGGCATTCTGCCATCACCCTGGGGCCCAAATGGCGGTGTATGGGAGACTAGAAGTAGAGTCATCCACACCTGATCCTAGAACCCAGTCTTTGAACTCAAGGTAACCACATTCCATTTCTTTTTAACTTTGGTAGGCAAGGAACAAACGAATGAACCGTCAGCTTTCAATTGTTTGAATGTTCAAACCCGAGCCGAATATTTTTTATCTCACCTGATGCTGAGCATAGGATTTAATCTTTCGCTCAAAATACTTCGATGAGTGCATCATGATGTCCACTTCCACCTAAGTTTAGGGCATATAGAACTCTATTTGTAAGTGCACACTCCACTCAAGGGGGTGGCGGAACGTGGATCCCGGATATAGGGTTAAGGGGGGGCTCCGCTTGGGGGTCGAAATATTTTTTGTGACCTACTTTGCAAAAGTCCTGCCAATAAGCCAAATCGTGCTCCCCAAAGAAGTTGGGAAGTTCAGATGCATGGCAAACACTTAATCTATGCATTTACTGTCCGAAATTTTGACTGAGAGCCAAAAAAAAAGTCAACAAACTTTTTTATAACACCGCTCAAGTTCGCAAAAAGTATGGCAAAGAAGAAGTAAGTCCCTATTTTAGATATATATTCTAATGTAATACTGTATTACAGACAAGCGTCGGGGTTTACGAGCGACACCAAGCTTCATTGCCCAGAATGTGAGAAAGAGATTCCTGTTGGAACAGGCAGTCAAGCAAATCTGCAGCGGCATATTGACTTGTATGGATACTATGGGGGTGAAGTGTCGTCGCACGTAGTAACAGATCCAAAAATGTAACATACTACATACCTACTTGAGTATGTTTTTGACATAGGAACTCGGAAGTTTCCTTTTTTGGGGGGTAGGGGGTAGGGGGGGGTAGACTGAGGGTGCCTTATTTCATAATGCGACTGTATATCTAAAATCCACGTTCCGCCACCCCCTTGACTCCACTTCCCGGGCCAGAGGGATAAATAGAATGAGGCCACATCAAACCTCCTAGATCAGTACATAAGTGGCATCTCTCTTTACGCGTTGTCAAGGGACGGTCCAGCCTCGCGGTAAATGAGAATTATTGGGGAGCTTGCTCCTGCTAACCGACTCCGAAATGTAGATGATGACCTAATCCACAAGTTGGTCATGTTTACACATTGCACAGCATGGACACCCCACAACGCGTCTAGTCACGTGGTATGTCCGTTTGATTGTCTCCTCCATCTCAACGGCCAACGCCAACGCCACCGCCCATTCCAACACGTTCCACACCAGAGGCTTAGGGAACGATGAAGAATAAGAACAAGCAGACTAAGTTCCCCGTCGTACGCTTTGCCTTTTTTGCTTCGGTGGCGGATGGCTTTGTTGAATCCCTGCATACAGGCGCGCATAAAAAAGATCATGCAGAAAGATGAAGAAGTGGGAAAAGTCGCGCAGGCCACGCCGATTGTGATTTGTCCGTCTATCTTCCCCTCTCTTTTTTGGTGTTGGGTGGCATAGGCTGATTAGGGGGGGTTGTATGGACCAGCGAAGGCGCTAGAACTCTTTTTGGGGATGATCGTGGAGGAAGCTAATAAAGTCACGAAGAACAGGGGGTCAAAGAAGGTCGAGGCGTATCATTTGTATGTGTCCCCCTCCTCTCTCTTTTTGCAACTTGTGTTATAGATTCATCCACTTCTGTCATCTTTCGTCTTTCTGCTATTATTCCTCCTTCCTTTGATCTTTCCGTTTTTGGTCTTCCTTCCTTCCCTCCCCCTTTCATCTACTCTCCTTCCCTTCCATCTTCCGCTCCGTCTCCCCTTCTCTTTACGTCTTCTCTCATCTGTATTCGAGCGACTTTACAAGCAAACATACCAACCCCTACACAGGAAACACGCAGTCGAAACCACAGAAATGCTCGACTTCCTCAAAGAGATCGTCGAATCTGTGCCGGACCCTACAGCCGGGGGGACCGTGGGTCTGGACACCGAGGGCGCAGAGAGGAAGAAGAAACGGGGCAAGGGGCGGAAGGGGCTCGCTGCGGCCGGGGGTGAAGGTGGTGGGGAAGGGTCAACGGCGCCGAAAAGAAAACGAAAGCCGAAGAAGGGGAAAGAGGAGGAGGTGAAGGAGGAGGTTGAAGAGAAGGATAGGGATGAGAATGGGGATACGGAGATGGGCGATGAGGAGGGAAGCACGTATTATAGGCCGAAGACTCCGGTTGGGAGTGATGAGGAGGAGGATAAGCCGTTCATGCCTAGACGATGATGAACCTGATGTACGCTTTTCTTTGCATTGTAGTGATATCAATTTGTATTTTTTTTTGGGCTGGTATACCGTATTCAGTGTAAGCTGGGTTTTACAAGTTGGTACCCTTGCATTAAATGATCTCAACCTCGCCCTTCTCCAAACAGAACCACCAAATTTAACTTCTCCGCAGCTGAGTTGAGATGGTAAGTACTTAGACGCTTTTCCTTATTCTTGCGATTCGGGGCGCAGTAATCTTTATTTGAAGCTTGATACTTAGAGGAGGTTTTAAATTTTGCAATGCTCGGAGGCAATATATCCGAGTCGGCTCGGGGTCAACTCAAGGTAACCAATTTTCAATGTCGCATTCCATTTCTTTTTAATTTTCGTAGGCAAGGAACAAGGAAACGAATGGACCGTCGCCTCTCAATTATTTGAATGTTCAAACCCGAGCCAAATATTTTTTATCTCACCAGATGCTGGTGACTGAGCGTCTGTCGCTCAAAATACTTCGATGAGTGCATCATAATGCTTCATAATGTCCTCGTTCCGCTCGCGAAACTTTAGGAGATGTAGAAGCCCTCTATTTGTCAGTGCTCCACTTCCCCGGACCAGAGGGATAAATAGAATGAGGCCACATCAAACCTCCGAGATCGGTAAGTGGCATCTCTCTTTACGCGTTGTCAAGGGACGGTCCAGCCTCGCGGTAGATGCGAATTATTGTTCATGTACAGTAGTATAGTATAACTTGCTAAATCTTCCAGGTCAATCCACATCATCATTTACATCCTCCTCGTTGTCCGCATCCTCTTCGTCGTCCGCCAGTTCAATAGTAACACACCAAAATATCCTTCCCCACGGCTCTTCATCTCTCCCCCCAAACGTCTGTTTTCGCTCACAGCACACAAACCTAACAGGCTGTCCGTTCCAGTATCGCATTAAATCGAACGATAATCCTCCGGGTAGTTGAAGCGAAAGGGATGGACTGAAGTTCAAAAACCCATAACAGAAATCTGTCGTGATCAGATCCTACAACCATTGAAAGTGAGTCAGGGAAGGAAAATATTTGATTCTCAGACTTACACGGGGCCCAAACTGAACGGCCTGGCGATTCGTGGGATCACTAAAATATGAACGGCGCTGAGACGCGTTTTCAAATTTCAAGGGATCCCTTCTGTGTTTAGGTTTACGCTGAGCAACTTTCTGAACTGCCTGTTTGAGTTTTTCTGTCCCACTTCGCTTACCCGTCCCTGATCGATTGCTCCGACTCGATCGGTGAGAGGAAAAGGAGGATGCAGATGACTGGGATAAACTCAAATCAGAGTTCGTACTGACACTTGAGGAATCTGAGGAAGAACTGTCGATGAGCGCCAGATGAAGCTGCGATGTTGAATCTTCCAACGAGTAGAGAGAAGGGAATGGAGGAGGATCAGTGTGTTTCGTCCAGGGCCGAGCCGTTGTGGGAGGAGACGGGGAGAGAGCTCTAGATGGCCGTTCGGAGGGAGAAACCCGCGTGTGCGTAAAATGAGGCATTGTTGTGATCAGTGGCGACAACGCCCATGGCTTCGTGGGTGACTGCAGGTCATGTTCCAGTGTCGGATCGATATAGCTATTTAGTGGACAATACATACTGAGTACCATGACACAACCGCCGAGACAACATGAAGGAAGACTCACTGCATGAACTTCAAAACGGCACTTGCACCCCACGGAAGTGTCAAAGATCGATCAAAGGTGTTTCCAAAGAGGATGTCGTCCGCGGTATAATATTCCAGAAATCGCCCTATAGGAAGACATGTTTCAGATGGTAAAAATCAAGAGCCTTGCGTGGCATACCTTGAACTTGAATACTCCATGTCACTCCTCGTCGATCTTCCCGCCCAAAGTATTCTGACTCGCGGACTACGCCACGCTCGTCCGTGAACCCCTTGATGTGGGCTACGATCTGACCTTCGAATAAGTCTGACGAGATAGTATGTGGTTTGGAGGTGTTCACAAGAGACGTGATTGGTACCATCGTTTCGGGCGAAGATCCTGCAAGCACACGAAGACGAGGCGCCATACTAGCTTTTAATGATGTATCATCCGAGTCGTGTGCCAATAGGTAGTACTGTGGTATTTCGACCGACTGTTCGGTCAGTCGTCACATTGGCCTATGAATTGAACAGATCTGGCGCTTGTCACGGGTCACCTGGAAGGTCGAATAGGGTGACATTTTATCCTAAAAGGGAAAAAAAAAACTCATTTTTCTCTGCTGCGCGGCATACAACTATTACAAAACTATATACCATCCACTAAATATGCTTTTACCCAACATAGGCATCCAAATGGGATATAAATGTCAAATTATAGGAATCTAGAACTTTTTTGGCCACAATTGGCAGGAGAGAGTTGCACTGGATGAGAGGTTGTGGAGGAGGCAAAAAGGTTGCTGCCAGATGCCATATCAACTGCTCAACGAACACTTGTCGCTGGCCAAACACTTTCATTGCTATGTCACACAGTGATCACGATAGTGTTTAAAGGTTCAGTTCAGTCCGGTTTTTTGCCCCGAAAATGCGCAACCATGGACCGCAACCGGTCCAGGACCGACCCAGATATTGAGGGAACCGAACTGAACAACCTAGGACCGGTCTTTTGTGGTCCATGATACCGGTTCAGACCGATCCAGACCGGTTTTTTTGCATATAATTTATTATACCAATATAAACCATTTGTATCTCAACCATTATTACTCTGAAAAATAAACGGGTTATATAAAATAGTAAAGCATATAAATACCCATCATTCTACCAATTTTCAAGAGATTTAATGAAGATTTGACATAGCTATGACTGAAACCGAATTACATCTCATAGAGACTCGGGTAAAATATGGATTTGGTTATATCTTTCTCAATTCTTAACCGTTTTTGATGAAACAAAAACCCAATAAAAGGCAATAAACGTGGTTACAAGGGTATGTAACGCACGTGACCGTTTAACCGGTTGCAACCGATTAAAACCGGTCTTTGAATGGTTTTAAAAGATTTTCGAAATGAGGCAACCGGCAACCGGACCAACCCCAAATTGGGGCAACTGCAACCGAAAAAAAGACCGGACCATGGTCCAGTTCAGTTTGGTCCACCGGTTTTTTGCGGTCCTATGGACTGAACCTTTAAACACTAGATCCCGATTTCAAACATGCCTCCCGACTGTTTGAGGCCGTCACACGTCACATTGGCCGAACAGTCAGTCGAAATACCACAGTAGGCTGCTGAAACTGTCGTTGTGTAGAAGGATGAAGAATCAGAGATAAAACCGGCACCCTGGGATGAGCGAGTCCTTTATTTTTAAGAAATACTGCAGTGAACAGGAATAAGAGGGTATGAAAAAGAAGGGGTCCAATGGCAGAAATGGGTGTGTGACCAGGGGTCGCCAAGGGGGTAGCGGGATGTGGATCCCGAACCAAGGGTTGGGGGGGGGGTGCTCGGCCGAAGGCCGAAAAAAAAAAGTGACACCCATCAATTTGGTGGCAGAAGTGGTCAGTGACCTGCCTGTTGCGACGTTGGATCGTTCTAGTAGATGTCCTAGCTGCTGTAGATACTTACTTCGCCATAGTAAAGGACTGAGTTTCGTACTATGTGTCATTTTTTTGACATTTTCCATTAGGCATTTTTCTCCTCTTAATTACCATGTACATTTTAGAATTCTAAATTGAAATTTGACTCAGTGGTGTTTTTTTTTGGTGTAAAAAGACCATAAACACAGCCCTGACTGGGAAGCTGGCCACATCCAGTTTGTATTCAAATCGACACTTTTCATTTTTTTAAAAAATTTTCACTCAATTGGCCTAATCTCAAGCTTTCAAATGATATAAAATTTTGGATATTTTGTGCACTACAAGCTGCAGAAAATACGTGGCCAGCTTCCCAGGGTGGCCAGCTTCCTGATTACGTACAGTATTGCTAATTGAGGTTGAAATAAGAGTCAAATTACGGCCAACAGCTTCATTGTGCAGAGTGTAATACAGATGTGCATGTTGGTGCCAGTGGGATGAGTAACTTGAATGTGCATCAAGACTCGAAAACATGCAGAGAGAACAAGGCCGCCAACACGCGACCCCCACAAAAGAAAGAGAAGTCCTCAGCTTTTTTAACCAGAAAACCATACAACAAAATACCCCTCGAGTCTCATGGCAGGGGAAAAGGAAGAGAGAACTGTGGTTGGGTGGTGATGTGCAAAGCATGAGGTTGCAAAACAGGCTGCCAGGTGCGTGCACCGTGAGATTTGTCAAATGTTTTCGCGTTTTATGTAGAAAAAAAATTCTGAAAACATAAGCATGGGAAAAACATACTTGATTAGGAAGGTAGGGGTAGGGGGGTGTCAAGCAGGACTCTGAAAAAAAAATAACGAGTGTTGGTCTCTTTTCCACATTCCACCACCCCCTTGGGGGTCACTACTCATACCTATGAAGGCCATCTGTGGACAAAACTGTTTTTTTTTTAGAGGAACCCAATTTTCAAGGAATATACCCGATACATTAGTAGAGGGTTCTTACACCCTCTGTCGGAAAAATCCTAGTCTCTTGTAGACAGACTTTGATATATGTGAAGTCGTACCTTGGTTCACAATATATGAAGTCTGTTTGTTACCACGCCCCCAAACTATGCTAGAAATCGTTTATCTAATCTTCGGACTTTGAAATCACATCGTGTCAATATTGCCTGGACTCTCGACGCGTTTTTTGTCGCACAACTTGTTCTAATGCCCCAAATTCAACTGTAATCTCTTCCAGCTATTACTTACCATGGATAACAACACTTGAACTGTCTGGTCTTACAAGAAGAATTCTGCAATTCAAGTCCCAGCAACACCCTTCAAGTTACATCTTGCCGCTGGCATTCCTATCACAACTTCTACACCCAGTTCCACAAATCCTGGATTCACTCATTGCATTGTCTCTTTATGGTCTTCCAGCCTCGTTACCTGCAGAATGAGCTCCTAGAGCTCCTCAACCCACTGCTGCACATGTGCAAGAAAGCAACCAGCTCACGGTAGTGCACCCGCCGAAGTGTTCTTGTTGCTGAAGCCTTGCCTGCAGGTGAAAGTGAGAAGGAAAACAGAATACCACAGATGTAGACCAAAAACTAGACACAATCAATTGGATTCAAATTTGTTAGTCTAATTAGAATTACAAATCGATGTCTGCAACATCATATTATCACTGTCTGAATGGCACTGGTTCCCAATGGTTGTGCCATAGTATTTTGACCTTCGCGCATGCAATGCTTGGCAAGAGGAGTGGAGTGAAACCTGGCTGAAACATCTCTGGACATACACTTTAGTTCTGGGATGTAGTCGACAAAAAATGCGAACTGAATGCAATGACTGAACGGCATGTACATGGGTCCAGTCAACATCAGCCCTAAGAGTTTCCATGGTCATTGTTGTCTGCTTCTTCTCAGTGATGTGTGCAAGGTTCAGATTCTCAAATTGGTTGTGAGCACATTTGATGTCGATATGAGATTTTGCCGCAAAGGATGGTTTCGCACAGTTTGTGTATTGGTGGTTTCGGGATGAACAAGCCACTAGCCACAACTTAAATCTAAATTGAAGAGCTAAGTATAATCAAAGAGCAAGTTGTGATAAAATACATACAATGGGATGGGGCGGCGCTTCCGAGTCTTCATAATCACAGCAGCATTCTTGCACAAAGCAGCCATAGACTCGGTGAGATACCAAGAGACAGGCGTGCACACCTTGTACTTCTGAAAAAGTCCAGCAATGTTGAACTTCCCCAAGGTCTGCCAAGCAATCAACCTAACGGACTCGAGCTGAGTAGTATCATCCTTCTTCATGGTAAGCTTAGTATTTCTTGATGGACATAGTTACCAACAGGATTGGTTGCACAAGTGGGCAAAGAAGGACGTGCATGGCTTATGGCCGCAGGACTTATGGCACCAGGTGTAAAATGTGATAGGAATGGCGAAATGTAAGCAGGTTTTGCTGGGCTTTGGATTGTGGTAAGACTGGATGGTTCAAGCATTGTTATACATAGTAAGTAATAGTTGGGAGAGATTACCATTGAATTTGAGGGGATAGAACAAGCCATGCGACAAAAAACGCGTCGAGAGTCCAGGGCGACAAGGCAATATTGATGCGACACAGTTTCAAAGTCCGAAGATTACATAAACATTTTCTAGCGCGGTTTTGGGGGCGCAGTAAATGGACTTGGAACCTGCACACCTAAGGTTGGAGTTTGAAAAATTCCCATGCCGCTATGTTCGCATTCATGTTGAGTAAATACTTACCGTCTATGTAGTATCAAATAAAAAGGTTTTTCATTGTGGCGCTGGCTGTGACGGCTGGGGAGACCCCAGACCCCTCGCCTCAGCCTGCGGCACTTTCACGATGCACTGGCCTTTACACTGCGCTGGCTCTTCTGCTGCGCTGGCCTTGGGGAGACCCCAAACCCCCCTTCCCGCCTTCAGCGGGTTGAAGCGAGATTCCCACTTCAAAGTTTGCGGCGAGACCAAGCATAGCCACACAAGTATTTCAAATTTTGTCTCAAGGCTCTCACATTGTCTTCAACGTGTCGCAAATTTAACAATTGTTTTTACCTAATGAAACATGGCTTTTTTCCCTGGAAAGATTTTTCATTTCTTCTATACATCCTTCATCAATACAACAAGTAAGTTCTGAAAGAAAAAGAAAAAAGATTCTATCAATGGTATGCATAGCTTGGCTTCCTGGCCTCCTTTTTTACATGAGTGAAAGGAATGATCTTTGACTTATTGTAGTTCTCAAGGTTTGAGTGTACGGAGTCGTCAAGTAGTGCTGTTGATGGAGAGGGCATCCATGAGTGTTGAGCTTCATTATTATTGAGCTGTGAATGCAGATTCCTCGAAATGTATCCATCCAGTTGATCCCAAAGCTCAGGTGTGGTGGCCACTCACTCAGTTGCCCTGTCTTCGCACATGGGCACTCAGTTGATAGTGAGCCCTACACAGTGAGCTGGCAGATGAGGATGGTGGGGATGGGAACCAAGGAGCGGATGGTGCATCTAAACCACAGCCACTTGGGCCTATGTTCACGTGAAACTGAAGGTTGAGGGAGTTGGTGTGGGTGGCAGCCACTTGTTTGATTTGCGCCATCTTTGTACATGGGTGCTCAGTTGATAGTGGGTCCTGTGCAGTGAGCTGGCAGATTGAGGATGGTGGGGACAGGGACTGAGGAGCAGATAGTGCATGTAAACGACGGCCACTTGGGCCCATGTTCACACCCACTCAGCCGCATGTCCTGCCTTGCTGTGAGGGGGCAGTACTTTACAGTGCCCCACCTATTCCTGCAGGAATTCAGTCATTCCAGTGGAATTCCAGAGGAATCCAGAGAAATCCAGAGGAATCTGCAGGAATTCCACAGGAATCCAGTGGAATTACACTGGATTCCTCTGAACTCATGTAAATTTACCAGTACATGTCCTGATCAGCTAAAGTCATGTGACTTAATAACCAACTTATAATGTATTTAAAATGACATAAAACATATATTATTATATACTACTATACACAATCTATGTATATTTAAAGAAGGAGAGGTACAAGGAAAGGGGGTGAGGACAAGGGGAGCAGGCTATGGAGAAGGAAAGGGGCAGGGAGAAGGAAAGGGGTG